GAGCCCTGTGATATTGTTATACAACACAATACTGTCACAGAACTCAATAGCAAAACATGCACAGTACAGTGGTACCTCGGTTTATGAATTTAATGCGTTCTCCGGGACTTTTCTTACTGCAAACAATTCATAAACCAAAACGTGGTTTCACATAGGAATGCATTGAAATCCAATTAATCTGTTCCGGAGGTCAGAAAAATTGTCAAAATGAGCTGGCATGGAAACCAACCCATAATGCAGAACATACAGTAAAAGGCAAGCAAATTATGTTCATCGTTTGAACAATGCACCAAAAAAGTTCCAAAAAGTCCCCAAACCACTGCAAAAAATGTCCAGAATAGCTCCACAACTCGATGCAAAATCTGCTCCAACACCTCCACACTCGATGCCACGTGCTACCCACAGACTCCAGCATGCATGGGGCGGCGCTATAAACCTCTCAGGCGCAATGCATCCTGGGGAAACTTGCTTCATATTGCCAAAAAATATTGTAAACCAAGGCATTATTTTCAACGGATTTTCATTTGTAAACCTAAAATAAGTTAACCGAGGCATTTGTAAACCAAGGTACCACTGTAAATTGTTTTAAAATTATGTCAATATATTTATAATTTAGTTTATAAAAACAAATTGAATTATTTTCAACGTTTTACGTTATTTGTTAATTTTCATGCATACAGTGCCATGCATTCACTTGTTAACAAAGAAACATTGTAAAACATTATCATCACAAAACTAGGTCTAAACAATGGTTTCATAGTTACATGATGCTAAGCTCAATTGACCAATATTGCAAGGTTAATGGCAAAATAAGAAACTGCCATCTGTAAAATTTTCAAACTTACACCTGTCACTTATGTTCCATATAAGCAGTTATGTGTGCGCCTTTCTTTAATGTAACGTGCATTTCAGGTTTGTGTTGTAGATGTTGCATGCAGAATGTTTGAATTGAATACTGAACAATACAAGAAGCCATTGTCAAGGCTACACTCAGAACAGCGTAAAGCAGTTGCTTCATCCATAATGCACAAGGAAGACAGCATGCATTCTGGAGTAAAAGGGGGTGGACCAGATGGAGACAGCAACGGACTCAGAATCCATTGATTCCTGCTGCTCATAGGATCTTGCCTGATAGTAAAAAACCTGGGTGTGCTCTCTCCATAGCTCACCTCTTCTGGAGCCCTCATTGTTCCCCCTCCCCTTGAGGATGGCAAGAAAGGGCCTCTAAACTCTTATGGACCTTGGTCCCGTTGCACCTGCTGCACCTCCAGTAGTTCTGCACTTGATTGACTTGCAGGAAGATAGATGGAGGTGGAATATTTGAAGACAGAAAAAGTTTGCTTTTAGAAAATAGAGCGACATCCATTCTAATGTACATGACCATCCTTGTGCCGAGGATGACTAAGGTTGCACTACTGCCTCTTTGAGCTCTGCTTTACTTTGTGCAGCTATTTCTAGAGAACTAGAGAGGAAAGAATTCTACAATTAAATTGCTTGAGAGAGGGCGTCATAACCATTTTCATCATGTGAAGTGGTTATGGTGCCTGTAGCCCTTTAAGGCAGCTTGGTTTTAGGTACAGGTGAAAAAAAGAGTATGTAGAAAGGAGTTCTATTGGGAACTGAACTCTGAAAGGTTGATGGCACAATGATACTTAATGACATTAAATAGGGACCTGCCAAGGGTCATGCAAAAGGGAACTAATGTGAGATCTTGACCCCATGAGACATCTATTTTTCACATGATTAAAAGTTCAGTCCTAAAAAACATCTGCAATACATTTAAATACAAAAAAACCCTTGGTAAGCCAGGCTACAGAGAATTGAGAAATCTTGCAGAGATCCCAAAATGTAAATATTGCTTGTTAGGGGTAAGATGTTCGAGGCATGGGTGGAAGGTCTGCCTTTGACAATGAAAACTACACCTCCCGACCAAAAAAGGTCTCAAAACAATGACTGAAAAAGTTTATATTCAAAAATGAAACTGGTACAGTATCTGCCAAAAATCTCCCCTCTGCATGCCAATGTTGTTATGACTGTGGTCTCTCAATATTGATTCCACATTTAGAGTGCTGGGACTTTTGTACATGTTCTGTCTTGTTAACTATATATAAGAAATAACAAATGTATAACACAAATGAAATATTATATATGTGAATAGCCTTCGCTCTTTTTTCTGGTTTTCTATCTTTGTTTGAGTCGCTTGGCATAAAATAGGTTGAACACTTTGTTGTTGCAGTTTAAATAAAATGCATTAACCTCTATAAATCTAAACTTTTGGAAATTGTAGCCTGCTAATTTACGGCTTAATATTACATAAATCCAGCATCCATCTAAGCTTGGTTGGTTGTATTTGATGTATTAGTTCACACATCCATGGGGTGATATAAAAGAGTATATAATCTGTACAGTAATGGAAAACTATAGCCAGCGTTGGAACTGTCCATTGCTGGACATAGTAAAGTCAAACATTTAGTGGGTCTACCGACACACACACAGCCAATAAACTCAGCTCTGCATTGCAGTGCTTAGTTCAAGAGAGCTAACAGATGTTCCTGCTTAGGATCTAGCAGACCCCAGACAAGAAGTCAAACTGTTCCAATGCAGTTTGACACCTTATTATTATTATTATCATTATTATTTAAAAAGCGCCAACAAGATCCATAGTGCTGTACAGTAGGTGGACTAACAGACACGTAATTGTAACCAGACAAGTTTGACACACAGGAACAGAGGGATTGAGGGCCCTGCTCAATGAACATACATGCTAAAGGGAGTGGAGTATAGTGACACAAAAGGCGAGGGTGGCAGGATGGGGGATGTTAGGATACTTCTGCAACAATAACCATAGTGTTCTTTTAAAAATGGTGTGGTGATAACTTGCTATCGGTGAGATTGGTGTTATACGCTGTCTAAAGCCTGTGTGTCTTATGGTCTATAACAGGCTTTCCCAAACTCTGGCCCTCCAGATGTTGCTGAACTAAAACTCCCATGATTCTCAGCCTATCTATTTCATTCATAGAGTTTTAGGTCAGCAACATCTGGAGGGCCGGAGTTTGAGGAAGCATAGACTATAGCAATATCTTGTTCTGAACGATGTTACAAAATCAAAATTATTTTTATAAAATGCTAATTATAGTAATTTACTTCTCTACCTGCAATATCTATTTACATGTATTAATCACTGTATGCTTGGCCACATCGGAATATGAACCAAAGAAAAGTTTTTCATAATAATACCAGCCTTACTTACGGGAGGATACATTAATCCAAGGGTAGGCAACCTTTGTCACGCCAGATGTGGACTACATCTCCCTTGATGCTTTGTAAGCATTATAACCATTGCTGTAGTTCACAACATCTGGAGTGCTAAAGGTTGCCTACACCTGTGATTAAACCATGCAGTTTTCTACAGTCAAAATTATATATTTTAAACAGATCGTCTATTAGTAGAATGGGACAACCAGCTTGTTTTTCATATGATTCTCAAATAGCATAACATATGATTTTAAAAGCTACAAAATAATTTTGGGGGTGGACCTACTGTCTATACACCCATGCTTGTCCACCTCTACTGGTCAATCAGTCCTCTGCTTTGGCAGCCGTTTTGTAATCGTCACAAATGTTTAAGTATATTATTCTAATCACCACAAAATCAAAACTTCCTCTCAAAAAATATTTGAAAGCACTGCCATGATAAATGTCCGTAGTGTGCTTTGCCATCTTAAATATGAAGCTCCGTGTCACGTGGTCTGGGCCATATTTTCGATTATGGGACCAAGTTTAAAAAAACTTTAAATATGTTTACAAAATATATATTATTATTTTATTATTTATATAGCGCCATCAGATTCCGTAGCGCTGTACAATGGGTGGACGAACAGACATGTATATCTTTGTTGTTTACCTCTCTATCTGAAATATCTGCTCATGTGCCTTATCCAAGTTAAAATGCTTAGCCACCTGCATGTCTGCTGGCAGCTATATTTGTTTATATTTATTGTAGTTTTGTTTTGTCTTTATTGTCCATGCAGTAGATATCAACAATTCCCTCAAAATAGAGGAGGTAGATGAGTCAGGTGGGCTTTTACAGCAGCTGTTAAGGCACAGCCAATATCTATTTACATACAGCTATCTAATTACGGTACTCTGTATTGAGTAGGGAATTTTGCATTGCTACTCCCATCACGATCAGTCACTAGAGCTAATCTTTCAGTTCACTAAACAGTAGGTGCAGCTGACAGTCTTTACCCCAGTACGGTATGACCGAGTATACCCTGTGCACAGCAGGCACCTTACTTCTGCTGATGCTCTCTACCTCTGCCTGGTGCTGATGGGAGTGTCAGTGGCAGATGTTGCTGCCTAGTCAGTGACTGGGAGGTGGCGCTCAGTGAGTGCACGGTAGCTGTGTTGGAGCCCTGGCTGATGCTGATGGGAGTGGGAGTGCTCAGTCAGTGATTGGGAGGTGGAGCTCAGTGAGTGCACTGTAGCTGTGTTGGAGCCCTGGCTGGTGCTGATGGGAGTGGGAGTACTCAGTCAGTGAGTGGGAGGTGGGGCTCAGTGAGTGCACGGTAGCTGTATTGGAGCCCTGGCTGGTGCTGATGGGAGTGCTCAGTCAGTGACTGGGAGATGGGGCTCAGTGAGTGCACGGTAGCTGTATTGGAGCCCTGGCTGGTGCTGATGGGAGTGCTCAATCAGTGATTGGGAGGTGGGGCTCAGTGAGTGCACGGTAGCTGTGTTGGAGCCCTGGCTGGTGCTGATGGGAGTGCTCAATCAGTGATTGGGAGGTGGGGCTCAGTGAGTGCACGGTAGCTATGTTGGAGTCCTGGCTGGTGCTGATGGGAGTGGGAGTGCTCAGTCAGTGATTGGGAGGTGGGGCTCAGTGAGTGTACGGTAGCTGTGGGCTGGAGCAGGAGTTGGGATTATTTCCTCCAGCAGTGGGAGAGCTGGAGAACGCTGTCTGCAGGCTGGGATCCCTGACATGCCAGTGCTTGCAGGGGGGAATCAGGGGCCCGGAGACTCAGCCAGGGGGACAGTGAACAGGATGGGCTGCTAACAAGGTAAGATAACTCCATTCAGTACAAACTGGGAGAAACAGCCAGCAGATCGTGGCAATGTAATATTTATTCATTATTACTCCCCTTACATTTACTGTGTGTGTGTGTAGCTCAAAACCTGTTGTCTAAACTCAGTTTATTGTTACAGGTCCCCCAAATAATACTGAGCCTGAATATAACATGCAGCTTTATTGCCATTTGTCTTAAGAGTCCAATTTTTATTATTTTGCTGTAGTCTTCAATATAGTCTCCAACACAGAATGCAAACAGACCCCCTGAAATACAGCCAAGAGTCCATTACTTTATTATAAAGCTACTGCTGATAAAAGCATCTAATAGGAATATTATATCATTATACTCCCAGAGTGACTCTTATACCTTGGTTGAGCTACAAGTTACTTTGTATTCTTGGGGATCTTTTTACTTTGTGATAGTTCTGAAATGGTGTCTGTGGGTGGCAGTCACACACAGCACACCAAGGGCACAACATTAGTTTGTTTTATATATTTTATTTCTATTTATTTTTCTATTTGTGGTTTATGTAATTTTTCAGTGGTTGCAAATGCAAGGGCAGGGGGATGTTAATTATTTTAATCATGAAACAGATGAGAGCTAAAATATATCTATCAATCATATTTGCTTATATGAAATGTTCTCATATTGCTGTTTCATGGACAAAGCAAATGATCTTTCAATAAATAATGTGATTTTTCTTTAGGTCTAAGCCAGTAATCATAGATTCTAATAACTGTTCATGTCTCCTAAAGGTAAACACATGTACTAAAATAGAATATGCCAGTTGGCCCTCAGGGACCTAACCCTTTGTGGGTTAAGGAGCTGAGCCGCTTTAACCTTTTATTTGCTAAGAACACAATCTATTGTGCTACAGCATCTCTGGAAATCTCTTACAGAGTATGTTTTTGTTATTCTTTTGTGATTATCTTTTTTTTAACAGTAAAAAAATAAATCAAGTGTTTGGGTTCTAGAGAATTGTGCTTTCCATTTACTATTATACTAAATGAAAAAAGAGATGTACATTGTGTGTGAATGAGTCACAAAAAGATTCACTCATTCTGGTGTGCCAGTGGATTTCAGATTTTTGTTGAGTTGCATGATAATCATGGCAAGAAAATATTGTAAGTATATCTTGATTTCACTTTTTCTGTTTCTTAAATATTTTTGGTGATTACACTGTTATTAAACCTAAAAAAAAAAAAAAAAGTCTCTAAAATGTAGCAATAAAGGCATCACTGGTGTTACAACCCAATTTATAATTGCAAAGAATACATAAATGTGGTTTCCAGATACAATTGATTTAACCACATATTTTCTCTATTAGTGTATCTGCTCAAGAAAGGATTTAATTATTTTTTAAATTGAAAGACTTTTTAAAAAAAACTTTTTTTTTTTTATTCCTGTGTGGTCCAATCTCACAAGATGGGATCTGGTCTGTATGTCACCAGTAAATTACAAAATATGAGACAGCAGGGATATATATATATATATATATATATATTTTTTTTTTTTCTATAAACCGTGGATTAAATGCTGAATTTCACAATATAGCAAAGTTAGAGAATTGTGCCAAAAATTTGGCAATTATGTTTTCAGATCACTGCTGTTAACTCTTTATTGAATAATTTTTCTTTTATGTCCGGTAGCATGGAGTTTCAAATGTTTACAAAAGGAACTTGACAGTCCCTGCTAATGAGAGTGCCCATGGAAAACAATTTCTGTTTTTCAGCTTATACATTTTATTTTTTTTCTTCCTTGTGAAGGTTTCTCACTTTGTTGACCCATAGTTTTTAAATAGCTTGGATGCTAAGTTGGTTTTGGACCAGAATCATTTAACAGAGAAATCATCTAGTTTACATTGATGTTCTATTATATTTGACATACTAAGTAAATACTAAATCCTATCCATTTTCCAATGTACATATATATGCAAAGGAGGCAGAGGGTTATATAAAACTAGCTTATTTGAAATGAGTAGTGAACTTATTTTGATTATGAAATTAACTTGGATCCCCCATGATTACTCTCTTCTTTTTATTGTCAAGGCTTGACAAAGACCCCAAGCACTTGAAAATTTGACAGGTCACTTGTGGTGGTTTTGGAAGTGTTTTTATATTCGAGACCAGGAGGTGGAGATCCCTACTGGCCTCTAGCTGTAAAAGCACCTTATTGCATAATTGATTCACACTTTATATTAAACAGTGTCAGTGTGTGCTTGCGCTCATAACTTTGCCAATATGGAGTCCCAAATGACAAGTAAATTGCTCGAAACGATCAAATGCTCATCGATGAGTGACATCCTGATTCACGCAAGCACATGTGTGAAAGGCCAGTGGATCACGTGAGATGATATAATGTATTCAACAGCGAAGAATCATGGGAACACAAATTAAATGCATATCTGTGCTTTTCCAGAATTCATTTGTGATACTAGTATAGATAGATTAAAACCACCACATTCAGAATAGAACACCTGCATAAGTACCCTGTGTTGGTTTAGTGACATTTATTTTGTCAGAATCCCTAGTAGGTTAACTGTTTAAATGCCAGAAGTGTACAGCAGATGTTCCGCTCAACTACAAAGAGTTAATATATCCTCTTTCTATTTTATCCCAGTAATCCAGGGCTGGGAATTGGGTGGGGTAATAGCAAGCATTGTAATAAAACTGACATCCCAGCGTGTCCCAATCCTCAGCCTGTACCCAAGTTAGACATTAACAGAGTGAAACAGGTTCTGTAAGTGCTCAGGATTTAATCAAGTCTTGAATAATTTGCGGTAATGCTATTGTAATATTTGTAGGTGCTGCTAAAATATTTTGTAGCAGTACAGTTATTTCATTTAGCACAGCAGTGATTTGTTTGTATATGTACATGTACTTAAATATGAGTGTAAAATGTGCTATTAGCCTTTTAGAAACAAATTGTCATTTCCTTTATTATAGGAACCGTTCTTTCCTGTTTATACTCAAAGTGTAGCCTTTAGGGTATCTTGGTGCTTTCCATTTGAACCTTAAGTACACATCGAGAAAGCTGTTTTTCTTTCTTCTATTGCAGGGTGTTTTAGCTTAATGATCTGTGATTAACTGGCAGTCTAATCAGATCAAATATCGCATGAGTGTAATCAAGCCAGAAACAGACTTTGCCATGTTTGTAAGTACAGCATATTATAACCAAAGAGCTGTAAGAAATGAAGAGTAATTGGAAATTACCTCTGTGTAGAACGTTGCTAAGAAGACCTTGGTCACAGCCTGCCCTTTACTGTAAATAGTAAAATGATCTGCAATAGGTAACTTTATTGAATGTGACAGCAGATAAGAACCATTCTCTGAAACTGCTATGTTTACATGTGAAGAGTTAAAACCTGAGGGACCTGGCACCCAGACCACTTAATTGAGCTGGAGTGGTCTGGGTGACTATAGTGTCCCTTTAAACTCCTTTACTCTGTTAATTTCTACCACTTTAGCTGGAAGGCTATTACATGCATCCACTACCCTCTCAACAAAGTAATACTTCCTGATATTATTTTTAAGCCTTTACCCCTCTAATTTAAAACTATGTCCCCTTGTTGTGGTAGTTTTTCTTCTTTTAAATATAACATCTGTGGACTACAATCTCCATCAGCTTCAGTTTACGGCAACAAGTGGGAGTTGTGTTTTTTAGTTGCGTGAATTTTAATGGTTTCACATACCCAGGGCTCAAAATTGTACGTTTTCTCTACTAGGTAAGACCAAAAGTTACTGCAAGCTTCGAGGATCCATAGCACACTCATCACAAGTGAATGTCTACTTGTCAGGGCAGAATTTTGATTTGCCAATGGTTAGTGAATGAGTTGAAATTCTTGAAATTATATTGGTACTAAATCATAAAGCAACGTAAAATCCATAAATTGAAGGGCTTCCTATGATTCTGGCATTATGTGTTAGGGTTCTCTTTACTGGTGTGAAATTAGAATATTCACAAAGGTTTCTGCTCTGCATATTACTTTCAAATCTCTTTCAAAATTACCAAAGCGATCTCTCACCATTTTTGTCCTCACTTGCCAAGTCTGTTTAACTTCAGCCCATTCTGTTTATACTAACAGATGCTTTGTAAAGTTGGAGTAAGTTAGAAACTCTCTGCCTTTTGCCTTGTGGTGCCTGATCAGCTCAAGGTTTGCTTGTGAGTGAACTCCAGACAAAAAGGCACTACATGATAATATTAGGGGTCTACATGGTAGGAGGGATTAGGGGTCTGGCCAGTGCAGGGTCGGATTAAGAGGCCAGTGGGCCTGGTGCTGATAATTATGATGGGCCTAATTACAAAATCTTATTGACCAAAAACACGAAAACAGTCCTACCTCCTAAGCGTCATGTATCTGATGGAGATGGTGCTGGAGGGAAACTCATAGGATGCAACTATGAGAAAACACATACCCTTTGCTAATCTCACGCTTTCATCTTTCAAGTCAACCCATATCCCCTAACAGCAGTGTCCAGTAAAGCAGGAAGTCTATGGATGCGGTAAAAGGGTGGGCCACTGACACAAATCACATAACCAGAACAGCCGAAAGGGCGAACATACACAAAAAGGTGGCATGTCTGTGTCCCCATGTCTCCCAGTCCTCTAGTGTCTGTGTCCCCATGTCTCCCAGTGTCCCCATGCCACTAGGACACTAGGGGACATTGAGAGACATGGGGACACTGGGAGACATGGGGACACAGACACTAGGGAACACTGGGAGACCTGGGGACACTGGGTGACACACGAGGGGACACTGGGAGACATGGGCACGGGGACACTGGAGACTTAATAAAGACCTGGGTACAGGTCAAAATGTTGCGGTGTCCAATAAACCTGGCTTAATCTATCACAGTGAGTGCCTGAAATTTTTTTCTTTTATACTAGGGGACACTGAGACACTACGGGCAGAGAGACATGGGGCAATGAGACACTCTGATACATAGGGGACACTGATACATAGGGGACATTTGAGACTTGATAAAGACCTGGGTACAGGTCGAAAAGTTGCAGTGTCCAATAAACTTGCCTAAATCTATCACTGTGAGTGCCTAAGATTTTTTCTTTAATACTAGACACTAGGAGACATGGGGACACTGGGAGACTTTGGGAGACTAGGAAACACTGAGACACTACTGACCCTGAGAGACACCAGGGACACATGGGGATACTGAGATACTATGGACACTGGCTGGGAGACATGGGGACACTGGGTGTGCCCCGTGTTTCCTAGGTCTCAAAGTCTCCCTGTGTCCCCCAGTGTCTCCATGTCTCTGTGTACCCTAGTCTGTGTCCCCATGTTGCCCAGTGTCCCCTAGTGTTTGTATCCCCATGTCTCCCAGTGTCCCTTAGAGTCTGTGTACTCATGTCTCCCAGTGTCCCGATGTCACTAAGACACTAGGTGACACTTAGAGACAAGGGGCCACTGAAACACTAGGGACAGTGGCTGGGAGACATGGGGACACAGACTAGGGGCCACTGTGTTCCTAGTGTCTCAGGGTCCCCATGTTCCCCAGTGTCCCAATGTCTCAGCTTCCTTATGTCTCGGAGCTGCTGTCTGGACTCTCAGTGAATAGAAAGAGGCAGGGAGGAAGATGCCGTAACTTCTTATCACTGCCTCTCTCCACACAAACAGCGATGCCTACTGGCCGGTGTTGGTATTGCTGAACAATCTCTGTTTATACTGAGACAGACATTTGTCTTGCCGGTATTACTGCAATACCAGCACCGGCTAGGCAGCCTTTAAATACCTGAGAAATACTTCTGAGAAATACCTGGCAACCCTAAGAAATATATGAGAAATACCTGGCAACTCTAAGAGTAGTGTGTTTATTAAAAAAAAAAAAAGTTTTTTAAATCAATGGGCCTGGGCCTGGGCCTGGAGCTGCAGCTCCATCAGCCCCTATGTTAACCCGGCCCTGGGCCAGTGGCGCAATTTATGTCACTGGCTCTGTCCAGAGGGGGCAGAGCAACATGAAAAGGGTGTGTGTGTCCTCCCATAGAATTGACAGGTAAGCCTGGTATGCATTGGACTGTCAGCCAAGGAGGTCACCCCACCAAGGGTGGACCTTGCAGGAAGAACAGTTTCAGTGCTCTCTGCATGCACTAGGTAACAAAGGTGGTACAGGACCCAAAAATCAGGACTGTTTTGCTAAAATCTGGATAGTTGGGAGGCCCACCATAGGGTTTGAAATTTGAAAACAAAATATATAAAATGAATAGGGAACCCCATGCCCTGAACAACACATTCTCCCAACCAAACCCTCCAATTGATTGCGGGTATGATCAACATTGAGTGGGTATCCTCAGATTCAGCGTGAATGTTGCAATTGACATCATCTTCACTCAGTGAATTTTGTACATGAAGTGGAGTGTTTGCCTAATGATAGTATATGTTTAACAGAAGTTTTACATAATTATGAGTATGGGGTAAAGTTATAAAAGTGATGCAATAGCAAGAACATTCCAGTGGTTTCCATGGTGATTGCACAACTTTTAGGATTCTGCACAGATCATTTTTCGTCTTTTGTTTACGAAATGATCACGAAGCATCAGTATGAGTGGCTTGCGTATTTTAAGCTTTTCGAATTATTTTTCCAGTGAGTAAATTTTTTGTCCCCTGATTGTACACCATATGATCAGTGCCCGTTGTAAGACATGAGTAAACACAGTACCCTCAAGCGGCTGCTAGGATTACATTTCCATTCTGTATTTTCTTGCCCGCAAGGTGGTTCATTAAAAGCCACAAGCCTCACCCTTTTCCGTGGATTATGGTGAAATCACATTACTAAGTTTGTGGTATCCTTGATAGTTTACAGCCTCCCATCTGTTTTGGTTTAGACTGAAAAACGCAGGTTAAGAAATATACAGGTCTATTAATCTTTGGAAATTAGAGTTTTTATTTTTATATATTTTGTTTGTATTCAAGCTTGAACTCTCTGCTCTGTATTATAACATTTGTTGAGTTAGCAGCTTTTAGTGTGTGGGTGCATATCTAACTTCATAATTGTGACTGTACGTAGGGTGTTTCTTATAAGAATGAAGATGGATTTTCCCAGTATTCCGATTTCGGCAATATTGCTTTTGGTTTTAACTCCTTTTTTGCCTATCCCAGCCATGGAGCAGGGAAACAAACTGTCCTAATGGTGTGTTACCCTTGATGCACATTAGTAAAGCAAAGTGTTATATACAGCCCTTATTGTTCCCTATGTTATTTCCCTACAAGAAATGCTGGAGGTCTTTAAGACTAGATTGCCAGTGCCCATCTCATATTGTTTGTTTTTTTTTTGCCTTCTTTTGGATCAAAAACAAATGTGAGGTAGGCTGAACTTGATGGACGCAAGTCTCTTTTCAGCTATGTAACTATGTAACTATATATTTGTCTCGGTATTGCAGTTCTGTAAGCCAAAGAAATGTTCAAGCAAAAGATAGCTATTAATTTTTTCATTGGGGCAATATCCAAAGAAACTTGCAAAAGCCGCATTTCTCTTGCAACCTCTGCAAGCCCTCCCCTTCTAACCACTCCCAGACTTTCTGTGGCTGTCCAATCATAGACTTCCCATTGCAGCTCACTAATATTTGCAAGGCGTGTGCTCTGGGCAATTTCTGCCTCTTGATTTTAGCTCCACTGTGCTAAACAGCCAGGAAGTAGCATGACCAGCTGTTTGACAACTGGGGGGATGTAACCAGGTTAATTTATAAAATGGATAATTTCTGTTGAAATCTGCATTTTTTCTAAAATGAAAAAGAGGACACACTCTTCACACATTAAGCACATTAGCAAGGTAAAGTGCTGTAGGTGTCTGGAGTGTCCTTTAAGATCAGTGCACCAGCGGTGCTCTTATTTCTTACTGAAAACACACATTTTGTAAAAAATTACAATTGTTAATAGTGAAAGCATCTTTGTTCTTATAAAATATTCTTAAAGATTTCTTCATAATATTGGAGACTCTTGATCCACAGCAGGAGCATCTGAAAGAAATACTGTGGGTCCAGGTGGTATAATAGGCTTTGATATAAATATTTCCATGGGGAGAGATAGTTTAGATAATAATATAATGATCCTTTAAAGGGATCAAGGAATACATTTCAGCTCCAATTTCCTGGGAATTTCTTAGTAATACGAATTCAGAAAATAAGCAGTCCTCTTACAGAGTATGAAAGCCAATTCTGGGAATATTTTACATAGGGTAAACCTGATACCTTTAAAAACTTTTAAACCCTAAATGGATCAGTTAGATTCTAACTGATCACATCTACAAATAGGCTTTCCAGTAAGCCAAAATAAAATCTCTAACTTTATAGTGTTTACATGCATTTGATGTTTTAATTTGGTACAGAATATAAGGGAACAATCTTCAAAAGGTTGGCCATTCCAGGTTAGTTAAATGAATGAAGTGAAAAAAGTTTACTGATAAATGCTACTTATGTCCATGCAGGTGGCTGCTCTTGAACCCACTAGTTTATCAGTCTGTAAATTAAATTGCGAAAGAAGGATGCAAATCGTTGGCTATAATGTGTTTTCTATATAGAAACGTATAAGAACAGCTTCTGTGTGTGAGGAGCCTTTAAAATGATTAGTGGTGGGCAAATAGAAAAATCTGTAAAGGAAAGGTGATGGCAGATGACAGAAAGCCATATTACTTCTATTCCTTCTAAAATGTGGGATGGTCCCCAGTTGTTCTGATGTTCAAACAGTGGTTGATCCTGAGTTGTACAAAGCGCACCACACTCTTCCTTAGCTATACCAATTCAAACCAGCGGTGGTTGCTCTGACCGGCTGAGAACAGTCAGCTGACCTCTTAATTAGCACCACTCGCTGGTGCTCAGACTAATGCTTCCTCATTAACCCAAACAGTACAGAGGGGATGAACTACAAGTCTCATATAGAGTTAAACCATTAAAAATGTTTAACCCCAAAAAGAAAAATGGCACCTGGGGAGATGCCAAGTGGTTAAAGTACCTACTGCGTCCCTTTAATAGCTGAATCTTTATTCAGAAGAGTATTGAAATGAGATCTTTTAAATGTCAAAAAGTGCATTTTCAATCACTGTTTTAATTGATCAGCTCCCAATTGTTTAACTACATTAAAGAACAAGTCCCAGCTATGTTTGCCCATTCCCAACATTTTCAGAATGTTACTAACTTTAGAAAAGTTCAGCAGTCTTCAGTATATTTTATAAGTTTAGAAGCAAGGTTTAACAAGACGGAAGTTGTCTTCCAGGCAGTGCATCTTCAACAATAAGTGTCAAGAGGTTAATCAGGCGTTTCCTTATTTTTATACATTTTCAGAAATTGCTCTGTCTGCTCAACACCAGCAATCCTTTGATGCTATAAAAATATGAAGTCGCCCTTAAGCTCTCTCTTGTGGAACAGGGTTCTCCTCCATTAGTTCTGAGGTCTGGATCTGTAGTAGCAATACGTTTTGTGTTATCAGCTTGTTTTGTGAATGAATCATGTTTTCTGTTTGTTTCTATGTGTTTTGCTCCTGGACTCTCTCTGTTTTCTAATTTTGACGCATCTGGTAATGCACACTGTTTTTCCAATCTTGATTCATGGTGTTAAAAGCATTCTGATTTTTAAAAATATTTATATTACATTTTATTGTAGTCAAGTTTATATCTACTCCAAAGTCGACTTATTCCAGACCCCACCACTGAGTCAAGGTGATAAAAAAAAAAAATGGTAAGATTGTGCGGGATCATCATATTTGCTCTCTGAAGTTGAAGTTCTGCTCTTACTTCAGATATTTTGACTTCAAATCTCAGTGTGATTTGGAAAGTGCCACGTTGTTGGCTAACAAAAATAGATCTCGATGAATCCTTGGATGACCTGCATGGATTCTTAAAGTATTGATGAGTTGGACTAAGAATCATGATTTCTCTATCGACGATTACAGCATTGTTAAGTACTTTTCTGCTGACTTTCTCTATTTTAATTATTCCTGGAAATTCATGCAGTAATTGTCAAATAATGAGTGTCAAGTGTACCTGTGATGGATTTAAATACCATATCTTGCTCTTGAAAAGTTGTCTTAAATCAAATCAATTTGTTTACTCTCGTCTCATTTCTTCAAGTGTCAACCATTTGTACAGCCGTCCTGTTAATAAAGAGCTCTCCATATCGCTGCTTGCACCATCCCTGTTTATATCTGTAATTTTATCACAGTCCTTCGGAGGTGCGATTTTCTTATTTTATTGCTGTAGTTACCCTTTAACTAAGCCACAGTAGGGTTCAATGAGTTTCTTTTGAACTTGTTTCAGTAATACCTGGGGCAATAGTAGATGGTACAGTATAAGATTCATGCCCCAGTTATACCCATTGATATTCCTAACCCCAAGTTTGTAATGGGAATCGTATTATGTTTTAATTTATTCTTTAAATGTTTAAGTATTTCCCCCCCAGAACCCTGCTATTGTTCTTAATTCCTGCTAAATGTGTCATTGGAAGGGACTAAGAGATAAGGATTGTAAACTTTTCCACATGTTGAATATTTTCCCAAAACACAAAGTCATAGGTCTATGACTAAACACTGTAAGGTGTGAAACGTGTAAGGCTGCTAATTTCATATAAAGTCTGCCTGTGTGTATTGCACAACTTTATTTTTTTTTTGTCCTAAGAGAAACACGTGTACTTCCTGCAGTAGGTTTATATGATTCCTGTTTACACTACTTTTATTCTAAATATTGTCGGGGGCCACAGGTTGAATAGTGTTTTGTCATCCACGTTTACCTGGACTTTGGTATCTTTCTTCTTTTGTTGTTGTACATATCATCCTAATATGAATATAACACACACAGAGCACATGTACATGTTGGCAAAAAGTTCTATTGGGTAAATATATGCCACAGATTATATTAAAAAAAATTTTTTTTTGGCTTGTTTATTGTTTTTAATACAGGTTTTGCAACTACATTTGGCGCCCAGAATTTTAGTCTGGGAACCAGCCAAGAAAATAAACTGTGCACGGCTTAATGTGATCAGGACCCATCTCAAGGAATGTAACTGTAATATTACAATAGTTGGATTGTTGGATTAATTCTGCAATGTGGAGTCAAAGTCCCACAGTTAACTATCAATAATGACGGAATTGTGCTAATTAGCACACAGATTATTCATATTAATACAATATGCACATGAACAGAGAAGCTTTTTATTTGAATTTTTTACATTTTGAAATTTTTAAGCTTGGTGTCTGAGAATTTTTTTAAACTTTTTATTTTTTTATATTGTATAATTATTATTTTTTTAGATGAATTTAGCAATATCACTAATTCACTAGAGGGTAGCCCCACAGTGTGATTATTCATTTTAATTGTATGTGTTCAACTACGGATATTCTGAATTAATGGCCTGCGCTGGGTTATTGTAAATGGCGTGTGACTAGTTTTAGTAATTATTTACTGTTTTTACATGTGGTTTTTATGTTATGGCATTTAAAGGAAAGATAGTTTGTTATAGCCTCATTGTGTATTATTCTGCTGTGTGCAAGCTGAACACCTGAAACAGTCTCTGATGACGTTCACTGCTCTGTCAATGTCTATACTCGTTTTCTACTTCCTTCTACTCTGCAAACTTAGCCAGGAACAGCCGCAAGCAAGCATCTCTTCATGGTTGTTCCTGGCTAAGTTTGCAGAGTAGGAAGAAACAAGCAGCCGTTCGCAGTTGTTCCTGGTTTAGAAGTGTGCTGTCTCATTGTATGGTCTTGAATACACAAACTCCAGGTTTTAAACAGGAGTTTTTAAATGTGATTTTATCAGAGTTTAGGGGCATTTATATTGTTGCGTTGTGACAATGTCGCACTATACAGTATATGTTTTGAATTATTTTTAAGGAGTCTATATGTGGATTATAAATGAACACATTTTTACCCAAGTAAGTGTCAGTATATTTTTTGTGTTAGTTCTTTGAGTGAGGTTTGTGCCTTTGTCCTATCTATTGGGTTGGTACCCCTCTTTTTATTTTTGAATAATTAAAATTTTATTATACTATCCTGGGTACCTGTTTTCTGTTGAGAGCTCCTTTTATGTTTGTGAAACTTTAGTGATTTTTGTGTTCACTCTTGTCATTGCGTATATGTTTGAAGACTTTCTAGTTATTTGTCATCAATATGGTTGTGCAATGATATATTCACTGCTTGCCAGGGACATGCTGCCCATTTTTTTTTTTCAACATGTTCATGTAAGTTTGCCTTAAAAGTTGTAAGATAGTGTACCGACAGACCCGAGGATAAAAGTTCTACAGTGGATTTTAGAGACATCATACCCCAAGGGGTCACAGAACCAAACCAAAAGTAATCATGCAAAGGAATTAGGGTAAAGACAAAATTGAAGACCTATGTCATATTTTTCTAACCCAAATAAATACCGGTATATAAGATTATTATAAAACTTCTTAATCTAGAAGAATAAAATGACATAACTGTAAAAGGTCCCAAAATAATCTTGGATAGGAAGATGTTTTCTAGATTTAGTGATAAGTAAGGGAAAAGTTAGGAAGTTGAGGAAGTGAGAAGAATTGCAAGAATATGGTTTAAGACACCTCATCAACTGATTGTTGCATCAAAAACCTAGCAAATCAGTAAAGAGAGTATTACACCTATCATAGACATATCCACTGATTTATTTATTTTTCCAAAATGCAGGTGAAAACTTAAAAAGAAAAAAAAAAATTGGAGTGAAAATTTATGTTATGGTAATATTGTGTAACTTCAAGTCCTACACTGCCAGGAAGGCCTTCAAGGTTGTTTGCTACTGCAAGTCTGGATGGTCAGTGCTAAAGGTTCACCCACCAGTGTCTAGTGACGAGTGGACCATCTAAGCCCTGTACTGTGCTTAAAAAAGTAAATATCAAACTGATGTGACTTAAACAAAGGATAGGCTCAAAACTTTATAAGACTTTATTACTAGAACCAGGTACGTGTTGGTAAACATTGCAAAAGCACCTGGTAAAAAGTACATTTTACATGGTTGAGGTGTTTCCTGTATAAAATGAGAATGAGGCCTCTAAAAGGAGGTGGCATAGAAACCAAAATATGTGAGTGATTTTTTTACTCCTTTTTAGATTGATGGTAGAGAGTTGACGATCATTAGTGAAGATAGTGATAGATACTTTTAAATATGCATTTTTGACTCACAGGTAACTCACTCACTTTGCTTTGGTGTGGTTTCTAAGAATTCAGCAATCACTTTCAGGGTTTGTCAAACATCTTGACTGCAAGTCTTGGTTCTCTGAGAAAAAAATAATATAACCTCCTTTGTCCCAATGAATCAAGGAGCAGCTCAAGCTATCTAGTAAAATGTAGATTAAAGGGATGTCTTATTGAATTTAGCATTCTTTTAAAGTCTTTACTATAAAACAGTCTTGAAAGGGAATCCACATTGGACATGATAATCTTTGTAATATTAGTAGAAGAATGCCATTAATGAGTAATCTTGAATATTGTAGATTGTTTCAAATAAATTTGTATATAAACTGCCAGATTGGTTTCCAGTGCATATTTATGTAGACTAGTGGCACCAATGATCAAGCACACAAGTTTTCTTAAGTTGTAATATTTACAGAGGGAGCTTTATAGATGCCATAATATCCATATTGAACAAAAAGACATGTGAGTACAGGAGTGACAATGTATGGCAACATTCCGTACTCCTCTTCAATATGTGTGTGTGTGTGTATATATATGTAGATATATATATGTGTATGTACATAATTCTCTCCCCTGGTGAGAGAAACATCCAATTTGTTGCCTAATTAGGGTATATATCTCACTCCATTTTTTACAAAAAATTTTTTTATAAATGAAACAAAGGCAATACCACAAACTACCAGTCAAACTAAAGTAAAAAAAAAAAAATGTTCTCAAAATATGTCCAAAAAGAATGTTCGTAGTCATAGAATGACTAGACTGGCATCTGTAGGCAGCTGCCACTATACTGCTACACTTCCTATTGGCAAATCTGTCTCTAAAAAGGCTGACTCTGAAAGAAGAGATGATCATCTCTATGGATGATGGACAGTTTGAGAATTATTCAAAATGGTTTGACTGTGGAAACATTTTTTTAAGTAAATTGCCAGAAAAATTCTGTTTGCTCTTTGCAACTTATTCCACAATCATTCAATAAGAATTTATCTTTAATAAAAATATGCTGGACTTTCCAACGATTGAGCAAAGTGGACTCTCTCTCTAGAGACTAGACCAGGGATAGGCAACCTTCGGCACTCCAGATGTTGTGGACTACATCCCCCATAATGCTGACAAAGCACCATGGGAGGTGTAATCAAAAACATCTGGAGTGCCGAAGGTTGCCTATGCCTGGACTAGACTATCTAAGATTTAGCTGAAAAGGTTTTTCTATGAATGCTGGACAATAATGGCTAAATTTGGCATGCTCAATGTTTGTGATTTTTGCATCTCATGATATGCAACCTACCTTAAAATTGGCTGTTGAATATTACAAATTGCAATCAATACACCAATCACCGCAACTGAAATTATAGAGGGGAAATAAATCCTGGCTAAGCATGTAGTTCTGGGATGCCAGCATTAGTAATTATTGGTTAAAGAAATATCTCAGATTTATTTTATGGAGTGTTTTGTTTTATTACCAAGAGATTGAACTGTGAACTAAAGGAAAACCTGGAGAAATATGGTGTGCCAATGTTTTTATAATGGGGTCTACAAGCATACTAACCATATTTTCTACAATTTTACAGTTAATACCTTTACACGGAAAGTGTTTTTGAAGTACCATATCCATGATGCTGAGCCAGGCTTCAGATCATAAGACAGAAACAAGGCCTTTGTGTAGGAATAAATAAAATGTCTCCTTAGGAAGGTTCCTTCCACATTTCTTTACTCGCATATATTATTAGCTATATCGTATCCTATTAGAAATGAGTATGGAAACCACAAAGAATCTACATATATATATTTTTACATATCTTATGACTCTTACTTATTCAAAACTACATTATCAAGAGTGTATTATTGTGTCTAGCCCAATATTTATATTGGATAATATGTTGGATTTATTTATTTGGCATTCGATAATGGCCTTGGTTAATAGGGCTGAGTGGAAAAACTTTCTTTCATTCATACTGGAACCTTTAATTCAGCCCTAACCTGCCTGTGGTATCTTAATCCTTCTCTTCCATGGGCCTGCCAAATCAGTTCTCGAAAGTATATAAATTACAGTTTCTGAGTTTTATAAGACAGTTTTCCTCATTAGATTTTTTTTTCTTTTAATGAGTCAAAGTGTCAAGACATGGCCAATTAGAGAGTCAAATTTACTACAAACCTGGTCTCCCAGTTAAACCAATTTTGTTCTACAATATAATGTAAACAATATGGGAAAGGATAACCTATAACCATTTATAATGATTTTGAACATGTACAGATGATCTGTGAGTGGGACTCACTGTCTGATGCTCATATCCTTTATTCTTCACATTTATTTATTTTATTTATTAATAATTTAATATTTGTGATGTTGTCTCTCCAACCACCCATTCTCTCTGCACACAACTGTTAGCCTCCCTCCATCTCCATCACCCTTCTTATCTACCACCATTGCAATGCAGTCAAACATCATCAAAACAATAGATATTATTTTCTTCTGTCTGATCTGTCAGCTTGGCATTATGTCTACTTGGAGTGGAGGAATGCGGAATATGAGGTTAAATTACTGCTTCCTTCACTTACCGAGCAGGCTGAATGCACCAGGCTGATGAGATTGAATGCGTGTGTCTCATTACCTCTTGGCTGTACTACAATATGGGGCAACACAAAGCCAGGATACAGGTGCTGCATGCATGTCCCTGGGGTTGAATGTCCCCAAATTAGTACGCTACTGCCTAAAGTGGCCATTGAAGGCGCAGTGAACTACATGTGGATCCTAAGATATGCAGCAAGGTGCTAAAGGTTATCTATGGAGATGTTAAAATCTAACGTCGAGACAGCTAATGGCTTACTCACCACATTGCATAATGAAATGACTTGATTATATAATATTAATTAAAATAATATCTAACACCATGGATTGCCACAGATTTAAGACACTCTTCTTGATATTACTAATATTCAGGTCGCCTGTTCTATAGGATTTTAGCAAAAGTAGAGATCAGAAAAGATTATTTGCTAATGTGAAGTAGTAAAGGCGTGTTACAATGTAGTATCCTGTGCAAACCAAACTCAGTATTGCAGCATTTCCTTTCTCTATTGTCATATTCACATGATGATGTACTCATAATTATACCAATTATCCTACTAGGCTTAGGGAGTTTAAACTGCTGAAACAAACAATCTTGTAATATTTTCATTGATGCACACCTACTGGCAAGTGTGTACCTTTATGGTCTTATTAAATGTAATTTTCCTGCCACTTTAAATACTGATATCTGCCATAAGAGCTGTCATATACTCTTGCACTCCAGTCTCTTTGACACAGTTCTACTAAAACTATTATGACATGCATTTATTTTTATAAGGAACACAATATCACTCATTCTTTTATATAATAAAGGAACACTCTGGACACCATAACAATTCTATCTGTTTTCAATCAACATCAAAAAACAGATGTAAGAAAGGCTGAACATGATTGATGCATGTCTCTTTCCAGCCTATGTAACTATGCAACTATGTAACAATGAAGTTGTTATGGTACTTGAAGGTCCTGGGTTCCCTCTTACTGTAGACGGTTAAACCATTTACACACTGTTTTAACCCAAAGTTGACCAGGCAGTGCCCCCTGGCTCCTCGTCTTCTCCCTTAGTGACCAGACTCAGACTGGGGCCTGAGCACCATTTATGGGCCAACTGATTCTCTCAGCTTAGTTCCCAAGAAAAAGGCACGAAAAAGGCATGGCTCGTGAAATGTTTCTTTAAAGATTCCTGATTTTCTGGGAAGCAAGATCTGCAATTCCCTATACTGAAAGTAGCAGCACAGGAAATGTTTTTTCTACTAAACTAGAACAGCAATAAGTATAGAAGCATGGGTATGGCACACATTAAATAACTCACAGTTATGTATTTGCTTGTAATTGTTCAAACTACATGGATATGTTCTCCACATCATACGTTGGCCACCAACCCAAAAGATGTACATTATAAGTGCCACAAAGGCATCCCTACACCGGCTACACAACATATGCGACCCGCCCTATAGGTAGGTGTTTCCCCCCATAATGGCAGGTCTTGCTCATTATGATCAATTAATGCACGTGTGCTGTGTTTTTCCAGTCATATTACATAGAATGTACACAGGAAGTCTGTCCCTTCTTTTATAGCATAGTGTCAAGATTCAGATCACATCAGATCCTGCACTGTGAAACAACTCGATTTTATTCCCAGACCTATTGTAACTAAAGGGTTCTGCCTAGAACAGAGGGAACTTTCAAATAATTGGATGCCCTGACATATGGCCCACACTTAGTAACTATGTATGCCCTTGTCCAGGGTTGGAAGTAGGATTGCCAGACTCTCTGTAATGCAATTTATATTGTAGATTAAATTATGCTACTGGAAACGGGCATAATAACGTTATTGTTCCACTTCAACAAGCCCACTTAAAACATTACCCCAAATATGATCACAAATTGCACAAAGAAGTTAGACAAATGTTCAGTTTGAATATCCCACTTATCTGTTTAGTTTGTATATTTTTTTAGTTCTTATAGCTAATTTATATATATATATATATATATATATATATATTACTATACTTTTATATCTATATTATTTGATATATGATATCCTCCTTGCATTACCTTAACACACTATACCACACATAACCCCCCACTAAACAATAACTAATACATGACAATCACTTATCCTTAACCCATGCTTTACATTAACCCCCTACATCACATTCTGCAACTGTCATTAGTCTAATATTATCCTTACCTTTTTGTGTCACTTTACCCCACTCCCTCTAGCATGTAAGCTCATTGATCAGGGCCCTCAACCCCTCTGTTCCTGTGTGTCCAACTTGTCTGGTTACAACTTCATGTCTATTCGTCCACCCATTGTAAAGCGCTGCAGAATTTGACGGCGCTCTATAAATATCATAATAATAATAATAATAATTAACACTATCATAAGCCTTAAAGGGATGTTTTATGCAGTTTAGGCAACATAACAACTTAATCTAAAGTTACAGAATGGTTTAACCCTAAAGTTGCCTCCATTGCCAATCTCAACTCTTTCCCAATATCCTCCTGCCCTCCAGATGACAGGTTCTGAAATCTCTGTTTCAGGAAGAGCGGAGTGACTCTGGGCATAATACTCTGAACCAATCAATGACTACCTATTCAGAAAACAGGCTTGAAAAATGCACATTTCTTTTCAACTTCATTTAGATGAAGTTGGTATGTTGCCTGGAGTGTCCCTTTAAAAAAAAAAAAAAAAAAAAGTGCTTGTATTGACTCTAAGGACAACTGTCAATGTTTAATGAAACTTTTATTATTATTTAGCGCCAACAAATTATGCAGCGCTTTACAATGGGTGGCCTAACAGACACGTAATTGTAACCAGACAAGTTGGACGCACAGGAACAGGGAGGTTTAGGGCCCTGCTCAATGAGCTTACATGCTAGAGGGAGTGGGGTAAAGTGACACAAAAGGTAAGGGAAGTATTAGGGAAGTAGATTGGTAGAATAGTATTCAATGAAGACTCAGTGTGGGATTTTCGAGCCATTAACAGTTCAATTGATATGCTTTTGTGAAAAAGTGAGTTTTTTAGTAGTGTAGACTGGGTGAGCATCTAATGGAAAAGGAAAGGGAGTTCAACAGGAACAGTGCAGCCCTAGAGAAGTCTTGAAGGCGAGCATCAGAGGTGAAAGTATGGACAGAAGTATGAACAGAGCGTAGGGGGCTAGATGGGCCATACTTGTGTATTAGGGAGGATAAATAGGGATTGTAGAGATTCGAAAGCAGGAACAAGAATTTTAAATTGAGCCCTATATCTTACAGGAAGCCAATGTAGGGACTAACAAAGGGGTGAGGTGTGGGAGGTGCTACAGACAGGAAGATGAGCCTCGCCCCCGCATTCATTATAGACTGTAAAGGCCCAAGTTGGGAGCATGTAAGACCACTGAGAAGCGGATTGCAGTAGTCAAGACGAGAGAGAACAGTGGCATGGACCAGCATCTTAGCCGCATCTGGCGTTAAGTAGGGGTGGATGCGCGTAATATGCCGCCTGAACTTACCCCTGGCTTTCCTCGACTATGAATTTGGTTTTCTCTTTGGTACTTCACCTTGGCTGATTCCTGCCTCCTGGGCTCCTCCCGTCAAATACGTGACAGACGTAACAGAGGGAGACACAGGAGTAGCAACACTTGAGGGAGGAAAGACCAGAAGTTCAGTTTTGGACAAGTTGAGTTTAAGGAAGTTGGTAGCCAACCAGTTAGAAATAGCAGAGAGGCAGGCAGAGACATTAGTCAAAAGGGCAAGGGGGAGATCAGGAGAGAACAGATAGATTTGCATATCATCTGCATAGAAATGATATTGAAAGCCAAAGGAGCTGATGAGTTTACCAAGGGAGGCAGTACAGATCGAGAACAGTAGAGAACCAAGGACTGAACTTTGGGGGACACCAACAGAGAGGAGATTGGGAGAAGAGGCAGAGTTAAAAAAAGAAACCTTAAGAGCGCTGGGAGAGGTACGAGGAGCACCAGTAGAGCGCAAAATCTCATAGACTGAGATTACAGAGGAGGAGAAGCAGTTAATGATCAACAGTGTCAAAAGCAGCAGAAAGGTCAAGGAGAATTAGGATACTTGCAGTGAGTAGATCATTGGATACTTTGGTCAGAGCCATTTCCACCAGGGGTCTGAGTGCAGAAACCAAACTGCAGTGGGTCAAGCAGAGAGTTTGACTCAAGGAAGCCTGTAAATCTTGCATATACAACTCTTTTTAAGGATCTTGGATGCAAAAGGCAGTAACGAGAGGGTGGTAGTTGGACTGGGAGTTCGGGTCAAGGTTTGGCTTTTTTAGAATTGGGGTTACAGTTACATGTTTGAAGGGTGATTGAAATATGCCAGAGGAGAGGGAGAGATTGGGAATTTTAGTGAGAGGCAGAAAAGGAGACAAAGTATGGATGAGATGCAAGGGAATAGGATCCAGAGAGCAGGTGGGACAGGAGGACTGAAGTAGAGCAGAAACCTCTTCCGATGTAGCGGGTGCGAATGAACATAGAACAGCAGAGGGAGTGAGGTTGGGGGAAGTTTTGTAAGGGAAAGGAGAGAGATGAGAGATCTATTCCCTGATTGTAGAGATATTTTCAGTGAAATGAGTTGCAAAGTTTAAAAGTGTGAACTAGTAGTTTGGCTTCGTGGTAGAGTTTGGTTATAAGGGTATTAAAGTAATTTACTTTTGCAGAGGAAAAAGCCAAGCTGTAGGAGCACTGCATAAATATGTAGCGGAGAAAGTCAGACTCAGAGTGAGACTTTCTCCAGCAGCGTTCAGCAGTTCTGGAGCATTTTTGGAGGTATCGAGTTAGCTTGGTATGCCATGGTTGCTGTTGGGGGTGCTTGCTGCGTTTTAATTGTAGGAGGTGCCATGATGTCGAGTTGAGAGTGGAGAGTGGAATTGTAAAAGAATGTTGCAGAGCTATGGGTTATCGGGGGTGGGTCCAGAGCCTTATATCAGGAGGGGCACTCATAGATTATTAAAGAAACAATCCAGGCACAATAACCACTTTCTGTAGTGGTTATGGTGCCAGGAGTGCCGTGCTGCCCTCCCAGAGTAAATAGTCAAACGGTTTAAGAACAGTTTGACAATTTACCTGCCAGGATAGGGGCTGTAGTAGGGATTGGGGATAGGGCCTCTATTTATGTGTGTATGGGAGGCAGCGAGTGTGAGAGGAATGCAGGGTGGATATTGGAGGCGGTGTGTGTGTGAGGGGTGCAGTGTGTGTGTGTGTATGTACGGGAGGCAGTGCACGTGCGAGGGGTGCAATGTGTGTATGTGGGACAGTGCATGTATGGAGCCAGTGTGTGTATGAGGGTGTAGTGTGAGCAGTGTGTGTGTTAAATAAATATGCTTTATATCCCCCCTCCCTTCTTACCTTTGCCCAGGAGTGAACTGGGTAGAGTTCACTCTCGTAAGAAAGGAGCATTGCCATGGTAACCGCGGCAACGCTCCGTGCTTGTGAGACGAGACCTGGCAGAGCTGCAAGCTAGAGCTCACGGGTCTCCTTTCCCTTTCCCTCCCTTGCTGGTCGCCCAGCAAAGTGCCTGTGGACTGGTGAGTTAGCACCCAGCAGGGCCAGCGCTTGGATAGCACCGGCCCTGCAGGGGAGAGCATCAGCTCTTGGGGGGGCAGGCAATTGATCCGCCACTCTGGGTTATTAACTAGAATCGAATTATGGAGTATTTACAAATTGGAGAACTGCAAATCTTATGCTGAAATAGCAGAAATTGAAAAATCCACCAATATGTGTTTTTTTTTTGTTTTTTTTGTAGTTTAGCTAGGTTAGTGAATAACCCATGTGGTTTTATAATCTGTGATATAATGGTAGAGTGTTATCGCCTTCCCAATTTACAGAAATAAAATAATACCTGTAACATCATGACAAGCTTTTTTTTTAACATTCTATTCAGTTTTCATTTCTACTCAAGTTATCCTACTTATTTAATGTTATTGTGCCAGGCTCCTGTGTTTACACTTGATTGAGTCTCTATGCTAGAAAATATAATTCTGTTTTTTACATTATATATTTAAAAGGCACAGAGGTTAATTTAGCCAGCTGAAAATGCCCCAATGCACTTCCTCTTGGAGGTAGAATGCTATTTGATCTTTGTTCTGTGTGGGTCATGTCAATCCTGTCAGGGAGAGTTACAGAACATTTTCTCATACAGAGTAAACCCTGGGAATAAACCGGACTGGAAGAATAGCAGAAGAGATGGTCTGTGTTTTGTGTTAATAAAGAAGAGTTGTTTTAGGATAAAGAAGGCCTTTGTTTATTAACCTAATTCTCTGTCTAATTAACATAAAGAAAAACATCACGTAAATCTAGCAGCAATATTCTCAAGGGATAAGAAAGGTAACACAAAAATCCTTGCAATAATATTTTCATAAGTAGAAACATTTGTATATATCTACAACAATCTGCATTTCCACTTTGTATTTTTATGGTGGGTTACAAATTTCCATTGCACGATGAACCTTCATACAGTAGACCAGAAGTGATAAAGAGAGATTGGGCAAAAGTAAACCGATTTCTTCAGCCAAATGTAAACCTGTTAATCAGAGTTAAATGGACACTACAGGTACCAATATAACTTTAATACATTGGATTTGCCGTAATAACCCACAGACTCCAGCGGGACGTGGTAAATGAAAACTCTAGGACTTACGAGGGGAGTTCGACTAAACAAGCCCACCTGCAAGCTCCTAACTGGCCCCCACTAAAAGTGGGGGAATACAACACTCATCGCTGCCTCAAGAAAAACCTGGGGAAAACAAAGAAGCAAAGTAGAATGGAGAGAACTTCAGGAGAAAACAGATTACAAGAGGGGAGACGGGAAACAGTGAGGTCTCATAAAGGTAGGGGAGGCCCTTTCCACCGCACTAGACAATGTAACCATTACAGTCCTGGCCAGGGAGAAACCCCATTAATTCAGGCCCATTGGGGGAATCTACATTCCCAGAAAGCTAAACCATTAACCTGGCTCCTTAGCCACACCATTTCATTCCAGAAACAAATACTTCATTATCAAATGTACATATGTACAGATGTGAATTAATTGCAGCTCACTCTGGACTGTTGGGACTGAGACTGTGTATGGACTGATAATTAAGACTATCTGGCATTACGGTGTGTGATTAATTCTGCAAACTTTTTTTTTCCCCCAATTGTATGCTAGAATTATAATGATTTGAGCATTCACAAACTACAGCCTATTAATGAGGTCAAAAACAATCACATGCATAAAAGGTGTATTGGTTCCTGGGGTGTCTCTCTAATTTACTGTCATATTAGGAGTTACAAGTAAGTCCCTACACCCACATTAGTGGCATTCTAATAGCCTCTGACTCTCTCAGCCATTAAAACACATTAAAATAGTCATTGAATTTAAATATAGAAAGAGGAAGAAGGTTTTTCTTTAGCTATATTAAAGATGAGTGCCAGATTGTGACCGCCTGAGGAATGGGGACATTGTGCTTCTGGCTCAGTGTGCTTGTAGTTGCCATGGTGCCCCAAACACACGTTATGATAAACTTTCAATCTACACCCATAATAGCCAATGCATTGTAGGATTGTTGGGTTCTCTTGGGTTTATTTCTGTGGATCATCGGTTGTGTGGTGTAGGAGGCTTGTGATCAAAGGGTATACACAGTATTACACTTGTATTTAATGACTGCCTGTGCCATAGGAAAGGGTGACCAATATTTTAGCCAGAACATTTATTTTATAAATCAATTTATTTCCCTACTAGGTCAGCAAGTTCGATTAGTTTATCTAAATGTTAATGAATGAATTAGTCTAATTATCTGTCCATCTATCTGTTTGTGTGTGTGTGTGTGTGTGTGTGTATGTATATATATATATCTCATGCTGCCTTTCAGAGCAGTGCATTACAGAAGAATGAAAGATGTATTTTAGTACTGCACAAACCTTGGTTCAGGGTGAGATTATTATTATTATTATTATTATTATTATTATTATGGACATATTGCGGTCGATATTTATTCTAAAATGGAGTTGAAATTACCAAGTCCCACAAATCACAAGATCTATTATTACATACTTCCCAACATTGGAAGTATGCAGTTGAGGTGAGAGTGGTCCTTGTGCATGGTCTTAGTGCTTGATGCACAAGGTGAGCATATCTAATGATGCACTGTTCTTTGTTGCCCATGGACACATGTGAGCACCCCGGAGTTGGGAATGTTGAGTGGCATGCTTATTATGTAAAGCACCACAATACCTTTCATTCTTAAAACATGGTTTTAGCTTGTCACGTTGACTCCTCCTTTACCTATCATTATTCCTGCTAGCCTGTCTCAGCTGCCTTAAGAACATATTAAAGATTCTTCCTACTGTATTATGTATCAATGAGAACTTTATAATAATGACTTATTCTAAGTATTAAGAATTAGAAACAGCCAAATGGTGTGCTGCACTGTGAACGTAATGAAATATCAGTAGGAAATCCCAGATTTGACTTGTTCACAAGCTGTCCTTTTATGCCCCTTTGTGAAATGTGATCGTATAATGAGTAGACAGAAAGTTTACTGCATTGCCAGGACTGTCACTTTGAATTTGGACATCACTCAAAGGTTCTATAGAGCAACCAGACAGCAGGAATCCTCCTGTGGTTCGGTACGATTAACGCATAATCTAATCTTCCTAAATAAGTTCACTGTAGTCAAATGGTAGATCCTTACCAAAATGCTTTGCCTGCCTGGTTTAGACTCTGTAATCAAGGCTAATTTTATAAGAGGGAATGCATGGTTCTCTGCAGACCATAAACTGAAGGATACTATATCTCTTTCTGAGTCATTTAAATGTTGACTTGGTAATATTGCAAGCCTGTCATCCAGAATGTATCGTGCAAAAAGAATTGTGTTATGTAATATTGCTGATCTTGTATACTTCAGAAATTGAACAAATTGTTTTTGTTTGTTTGTTTTTTTCTTTCTTTTAGTTACCTGGCCGAGCAGTGCTGGAATGGCGGATTTATCTACCTGATCATGTTGCGCCGGATTAAACGCAAAGCTCCTCTTCCTCCGTCTAATGGCAGCCACAGCAACACTTGTGAACCCAAAGCAAGTTCTACCTCACAGCAAACCGTTCGAGCCACACAAAATGGAAAGAGGACTAGGAAATTTGGGGTCATCTCAAGGACTCCAGCTAAGGAAAGCACAGAAACTAAGGACGGCCAGGATCCAGTTCACGAAAATGGACATCAGACCCTTATGGACGTTGATAGCACTCATTCCTGTGATGAAGCTGTTGGAGGGGTTGAGACATCAATTCCACAATCTTCCCAAGATGAAGAAGAACTCCATAGGCACCACTTTACAATGGCTGGAAGAACTATATCAAAACCATGTGACAGTACCACAGAGGTGAGTTATGATGGCCATTGGACTTACTGTAGTAGTTATGGTGCCTGTAGATTTCCTTTACATTTCCTCTGCTTTAAGTCATTAATGAATTAACCAAACGGGGTCATCATTGAATAAATTATAAATTGTGACAGGATAATCCTTAATAGGGTAAACATGCTGGTACTGCTTGCCATTGGGGCATTGAACACTTTTCTATAACAACATTACTGGGCTTTAGAGGACACTACAGGCATCAACACAACTTTAATGCATTTTAGCCATTTTCTATATAATTATTGTATGATTATTATTTTTTTCTTTTTAGGCTACGTTTTTGCATTAAAAATAAAATAAAAATTGCAGCATTCTACGTCTTACGTGTTTCCTCTGCCCCACTTTTTTTTCTGGTTACCTCCATATGTGAGGTCTCTGCTCCCTTTTTTCCCCTCAGTCTTAAATTGCAGTGTTTATATACTTGTATATGTCACCATGTATCTTATGTTTTCCTGGACACGTCTTTTATGTTTTATGATGTCCTGTCTATACCTGTTTGTGACATCGGCATTGCACTACAAAAATAAAAAATTGGAAACTAATTGAAAATACGGGGCACTTAAAGACTAACCAGCGACATCTTGCTCTTGGCAGACTAGACACTTAAGTCAATATGGGAGATCAGTTATTGGATTTATGCCGAATAGATCCATCCGGGCACACATGTGCTTATATGACGAAATTATGATGCAAGGGGCCTAGTCCTATTTAAACCCCTCTGACTGTAGACCAGTGCACTTTTGCTGTCTCCAGGGCCTGAAGTGAGTTATATGGTTCCTCTGTCTTGGGATTCTGATTTGGATTGCTCTTGACACCAATAGTTATTCCATTATTCCTGTGTACCAGACCCATCTTGATTCTGACTCTAAGTTTACCTTGACCACTTGTCCTGAGCTCGAGTACTTGTGTGCACTGGACCCAGCTTGCCTTGATTTTGTTTTGTCTAACCTTGACCAGTTTTTTTTGTTAACATTTACGCTAATCGTACTATCTAGCGTTAAGGCCTTCCACTTCAAGGTCTGGCAATACACCTATCTATCCTTTCTCACTCTGCCTTTTGGTTATCTTACTTTTTACTTTTATCTTGCTGAGGATCCTTCTGTATCCTGGCATAAAGGAATTAAATACAAAATGAAGACTATAGTGAAAAGCAGAACAGTTGTAAATTGAGGTAAATTAGAACCAGGCCAAAAGCTGGATTAGAGATTCATAAATATTTAGATTAGCATAACAGTACTGGACTAAAATGTCCCAAATTTTTTGACACGTCTGCATGTATCTGGTGTAAACGTGGCAAGAAATGCAGCCGGGAGCCTATTGCTAATGTGCGCATATGTCTAATGAAAATAAATGCAGAATGGCAGATTTTCATAAAAAATGTCTGCAGGGATGATGGATAAATCTTGTGTGATCTGTGTAATTTCTTGTTCTTTAATCTGCAGGGATGATCAATAATTAAAGGGACAACTTGACACAATTTTATTTTAATGGGCTATGAAGTATGAAAAACACATAAAAAAAATGGAATATATATTTACAACAACATACAAAATCCACGCACTCGTTCAATCACTAAAGAGCAATTTCAAGTCTCATAGAATGTAATAGTTTTATTTAAAACCTAATAACCTAGGCAAAAATGAATGGGGGTTTAGTTACAGTATATGATCATACATTGATGCTGCGGCCGGCTTATGCAATGTATGGTCATATACTGTAATTAAGCCCCCATTATTTTTTACACCGGTGAGGTGTTTTTAAATAAATCTAAAAACTAAACTGCAAAGATAAAATCAATCAATAAAACTATTACATTCTGGGAGACTTGAAATCACTGTTTCCTGATCAATCATGGCAGCATTTACTCATGGGTTAGCTCCTCCCCTTACAGCAGAAAGGACAGGAAATAGAACTCTGAAACTGGTATAAATAGATCCTCCCCCTTCCCATCAGGCAGTCTTTTTTCTTGTCTCAATCTCAGTGTGTGTGTGTGTGTGTGTGTGTGTGTGTGTGTGTGTCTCCAGTATACGCTCTATGTATAAGTTTTTTTGAGGACACAGCCTCACTATGACTATCAACTGTATTCTCTATCTATGGGTTACTATGAGAACACGGCCTCAGGACATGTATGCACTATATGCTCTATGTATGAATTACTATGAGGACACAGCCAAAGTATATGTAAGCATGGGCATCCACAGGAATTTTTCCAGGGGTGGCATAATTGTAATGACATTCATGCTTGGTCCCTTTTTGACAGTGTCATGAAAGGGAAGGGGCATAGTCATTATCACATAAAGCCAGGGTGAATAGTTGTTTCACAACTATGGTGTCAAGAATATATGTTTGTATTCCTGACACTATAGTCTTCCTTTAAGAAAATTAAAGGAATTATTTTCTGGGGGCCAAATAATACAATACACAAGATCCAGCGCACTCACCTATCCATTAAACAGCAACTTCAATGTTGAAAGATTGTATTATTTTTTTTTTTAAAAACACCTAATCTAGGCAAAAATAATGGGGGTTTAGTTACATTATATGATCATACATTGCATAAGACTGCCACAACGTCAATGTACCCCATCTTTGGCAGGTCCTACACTAACAGCCTAATGTCTGCTCTTATGAGATTAAAGGACCACTATAGTGCCAGGAAAACATACTCGTTTTCCTGGCACTATAGTGCCCTGAGGGTGCCCCCACCCTCAGGGTCTCCCTCCTGCCCAGCTCTGGAAGGGGGAAAGGGGTAATAACTTACCTTTTTCCAGCGCTGGGCGGAGAGCTCTCCTCTCCGCCTCCGATCCGCCCTGTCGGCTGAATGCGCATGCACGGCAAGAGCTGCGCGCGCATTCAGCCGGTCTCATAGGAAAGCATTTACAATGCTTTCCTATGGACGCTGGCGTGCTCTCACTGTGATTTTCACAGTGAGAAGCACGCAAGCGCCTCTAGTGGCTGTCAATGAGACAGCCACTAGAGGATTAGGGGGAAGGCTTAACCCCTTCATAATTATAGCAGTTTCTCTGAAACTGCTATAATTATGAAAAAATGGGTTAACCCTAGAAGGACCTGGCACCCAGACCACTTCATTAAGCTGAAGTGGTCTTGGTGCCTAGAGTGGTCCTTTAACCACTTACTTGAGGAAAAAAAATTCCATATGGGGCTCTCTGCAGTACAAGGCTAAATAGGGCCCTGGGATGAGGCACCTGTGACAGGGAGGGGTGCAAAACCAAGGAGTTGGCTAGACTCCCAAATATATATATATATATATATATATATATATATATATATATATATATATGTATGTATGTATGTGAAACAAGGGGGGTTGGCTGCACTCACCTGAACATGCATAAATGGGGGTGCTGCTGGGGGCCAAATAATACAATACACAAGATCCAGCGCACTCACCTATCCACTAAACAGCAACTTCAATGTTGAAAGATTTTATTTGTTTTTTTAAAAACACCTAATCTAGGCAAAAATAATGGGGTTTTAGTTACATTATATGATCATACATTGCATAAGCCTGCCACAACGTCAATGTACCCCATCTTTGGCAGGTCCTACACTAACAGCCTAATGTCTGCTCTTATGAGATTAACCTACTTGGGGAAAGAAATTCCATCTGGGGCTCTCTGCAGTACAAGGCTAAATAGGGCCCGGGGATGAGGCACTTGTGACAGGGAGGGGTGCAAAACCAAGGAGTTGGCTAGACTTTCTTGAAAAAGACCCTATAGGGGTTGAAACGTCCATTATTGGAAGATTTTTTTGCACATGTAATTTGCATATGAAATAAATGAAGCACTTTTGAAGACCTGTGAGTGCACCTTATTTGCATATTTTTGTATCCACAACGCTGAGGTTTGCACCCAGGCAATATTTCTTTGATATATTTGCTTTAAAGGGTGAGTGCCAAGTTTATCTCTTTTCTATCTCTCTCTATATATATATATATATATATATTTATATACAGAAAGGACAGGAAATAGAACTCTGAAACTGGATTAAATAGATCCTCCCCCTTCCCATCAGATGCACAGCTTAGTAGATCTTGCTGATTGCAGGAGCACAGCTTACACATATTTACAATATGTTTATCTTTGAATTGAATGTAGGTACTGACGTGGTTGGCCTACATTGCCTACTTATAATTTAGTAGTTGCCACAAATTATATGGTTCATGCAATATATATATATATATATATATATATATATGTAATATCTGTGGTATTGGTTTCTACCTCTCCTGTAACTGATCATTACTGTATCAATTCATTCACAGTGTGAGGTATGGTTGTGAGTCTGATTTTTGCAATATGTAGTCATTGTGGCAGTGTTTTAATACCAGACTCTCTTATTTCTCTACTAGGCTCTGCCACTTTCTGACAGGCAGATATTGATTTGTTTCCTGTATCTACAGTTAAAGGACCACTATAGTGCCAGGAAAACATACTCGTCTTCCTGGCACTATAGTGCCCTGAGGGTGCCCCCGGCTCTGGAAGGGGGAAAGGGGTAAAAACTTACCTTTTTCCAGCGCTGGGCGGGGAGCTCTCCTCCTCCGATCCTCCTTCTCTCCTCCACGTCGGCTGAATGCGCACGCGCGGCAAGAGCTGCGCGCGCATTCAGCCGGTTGCATAGGAAAGCATTATCAATGCTTTCCTATGGACGCTTGCGTGCTCTCACTGTGAAAATCACAGTGAGAAGCACGCAAGCGCCTCTAGCGGCTGTCAATGAGACAGCCGCCAGAGGGAATGGGGGAAGGCTTAACCCATTCATAAACATAGCAGTTTGTACTTATTAGACTTTGTAAAAATGTGTTTTTCTGCCTGGAGATAATTGAGTTACATACAGTACTTCATTCAATTATTTCACAGGCAGAGGGGAGGGATTGTGTGTGCTATGGGAGTGTCTTACAGTTAATTACTGTTTTTATTGGTTTGTTAACTTTGTGTCCCTGTGCCCAACAAGGTCCACGTGGGTGTCACCCTTGTTGGGAAACTTGCACAAAAGGCCAGTGTGCCTCCATTAAAATTGAGTTCCTGCTTAACCCTCAACACATAGCCTTGTCTCGTGCTTGGAGGGGAACTGCTATATTTACACTGGGGATTGCTATACTCCTTATACTCCCCTGGGCTCTAATCACTAGCTCTTGTAAGAGCTGCTCCTGCTACGTTCTCTGAAGTAGGAGAGGTCTTTCCCACACGGTCCTGGATATCAGAGGGTGGTCCAGGGTCGGAGGAAGACGGCGAGATCCCAGCTAAGCTACGGTTACGGTGGTTGTGGAGTCTGTGGTGCTTGTGGTGTCCGGTGTGGTGCTTATGGTCCTCAGCATCAGCCAGGAAGCATCTGTTGGCGGAGGTGCCCAGTTGGAGTGCCAGGCAATCCGTCACACATATACTATATATATATTTGTGTGTGTCTATAATATTCTGGTTTGTAAATCGTCATTGCATATCCACAGCCAAGTGTTTTCCTCACCCTCTAAAGCCCAACCAGAAGTTTACCTTCACTCCTCACTCCAACCAACCCATAGCCTCAACTACATGTCTTCCCTCCCCCCCAACCTAAACGTACACTTTTTTTTTACCTCACAAATCCCAATCCACAAGCTTTCTCTCACCCCCCACCACAACCATACGTTCTTCCTCAAACCTGCACTAGTCCCACACCTGCCACATGTTTTTCATCACTGCCTACCTAAATTAGAAGTCCCCTCCACACCCCAATCGCAAGTTTTTCAATCACCTATTAACTCCAACCTCTAATTTTCCCTAACCCTGACCCCAATCACAACTTTTCCCTTGCCACCTACAGCAACTGCAAGTGTTCCCACACACCCCACCCCATTCAAAGATTTCCCTCACCCCCCACCCCTTTACCCCAGCAACATTTTGCCATCAACTCCTCAAGCCTCCCACACCAGCCAAAGTTTCCCCTTCATACAACAGTTCAGCAACATCCTCCATTGCATCACAGGCACAATTTCTCCCTCATTGTTCAGTCATGCTTGCTTATTTACTGTCCCTTGAATTATTATTATTGCTTGTTGTTAAAATAATTGATTTGAAAACCAATCTCTAACTCCGCTGTCATCACATCATAGCTATTTCAGCCTCAGTTTTGCCATTTTAATTTTTTTACAGTTTGAAGTGTAAGTAATAACCTTGTTAGCTGCAAATTTTTGAATAACACATGCTGATAAGGCAGTTCACTAAAGTACTTTAAGCTTCTTGTGGGATCAAATAAGCCCACCAGAAAACATAGCCACATTGGAGAATATTTCCACTTTTAATTCACTTCCAACTCCCAATGAACACATTAATCAATAGCCCTATGCTTTAGACCAAAAAAGAAGAGTGAGAGAAATTCTTTAAGTGCTAGTGTATTAATGATTCTGTGAGTGGTATGCAGACCAATGGTTGATCTAGGCTGGGATTAATTAAAACCCACTGAATTGTTTCTGTGGATGTATGTAACAGAATCTGGTAGTATGATACATGTCTTTTGTTTGACAAGTTTCAGAAGCCTCTTGGAATGCAGATTATATAAAGAGCTGTGTTATGTGCAGAGCCACTGTCTCCTTAGCCTGCATTCCTAAAACGTTTGACAATTCAATAACCCATTCAGCGAGCACATTTAAATTCTGCCACATCTATTCGTATTACAGTAAGAAGAGGGCATGTTAACTGACAGACTTCATAAATATATGAAACGATCATTTCCCCCGGTCATGAAATAAAAGTACGCACTATGCACTTTTAAGGAGTGGGTGTTTGCACGGCTCTGGTTTCCCCTCGGCTCTTAAAAGTCTTAAATGATGACAAGCATCACCAAAGGTTTTTATAAATGTAAAAAATACAGACCGCAGGAGTATAATGTTAGCTCAGCTGGGTTTCCGTGAGATCTTTATTTTTCTACAGGCACTGTGAGACACAGGTTGGTATCGCCAGATGTGTATATTTTATGTGAGTATTCTGTGCAGGTGTACTCGACATTTTGTAAGTTAAAAGAACAACATCATAGGGGGAGAGTTTTTTTTTATTTTTTATCCATAGGAAGGGTAACAAGGGGTTCACCCTTAGTTTTAATAAATTTAGAGAAATGAGAACAAAATGCCCTATCCAAATAGGTTTCTCATGAGGTTGAAACATACACTTTAATTTGATTGATAAAACATAACATTTAATAAAAATTCTATTAAAAACCTATACAAAAATATATAATCAATAAAAGAAAAAATAATAAGAAAAGAAAGAAGGGCGAAACTAGGGGTATTTACAAAATACACTGATTGATAGGGGCACGGTTTACGTTACTCTCTTACAATAACTTACAAAGCTTTATGGGTGAGCAGAGGTTATATCTCTGGAAGCGATAGCCAAGTAATACCTATATTCAATCTGACCGATTGCTGAACGGGAGCAGCGGGCCGTTTTCATGGAGCATAATAAGATAGTTTACCTCGAAGATTAGGTGCCCACGAAGACACAGTATAGCCTACTTAAGCTCTATGATTAAAAAGCTATTAAATTAGCATTTCTCTAACTCTTAACCAGATCACAATTTTTTTTTTTATTGGGAACAGAAGAAAGACACTTTAGTAGGAAGCATATACTATCTTCCCTTTGGGTGTAGTCCCACTGGTTACAAACCTAATCTGTTACTTTTAAGAGTTTTCACTACTAATTTGACTATAAGTGTTGAACGGATACCCAATACTAGGAGTATGTTAATGTAAAACTGGCCAAACTACGTACACATATCCTATTATCTGGTTCCAGATACCTATGAATTGGAGTGTATTTTGTAAATATCCCTAGTTTCTCCCTTCTTTCTTTTCCTTATTTTCTTATTATTTTTTCCTTTTTTGATTATATATTTTTGTATACGTTTTTAATAGAATTTTGTTTAAATGTTATGTTTTATCAATCAAATTTAAGTGTATATTTCAACCTCATAAGAAACCTATTTGGATAGGGCATTTTGTTCTCATTTCTCTAAATTTTGTAATAAGTTTCTATATGGTTATAGCAAAGACAAATGAAATTGGGGGAACACCCGGTATGCGCATTCTGCAGGGATGGTACTGCTGTAATGACCAATATTCATACATAATACAAATAAGGTTATGGCGCACACATAAAAATACACTTATAATTCTTATGAGGTTACTTAAAATCGCCTAAAAAACAAATATGGAGTTTCAGTTCCACCATATGGCCATATTGTGTAAAGTTCACCCCTATTTCACAGTACCCCAATATCTGTGGGTCCTGCACTAATTCCAAATGTGGGAGACAAATTAAATGGTGCTAGTGCTAAGTAAGCTAAAGTGAATTTAATGAATCTATTGTAAGAGCATTGTAAGTATACAGAATACAACATTAATGTGATAAAATCAGTTAGAAACCATGTCAAAACTAAACAATTAAAGTGTTAGAGTTTGGATTAATATGCTCACAATACAAATTATAAATGTGCTAAATGAAGGTTATAATAAGTGACATTACTGTTCGAAAACTCTGTATATAGAGTGGTCACCTGCAAAGAGACTTCTGAAGCTGGGGTTCCCATATTTGTTTTCTTAGGTGATTTTTAAGTAGCCTGCTAAGACTTAGGAGTGTAATTGTATGTGTGTGCTGTAACTTAATATGTATTCTATATGGTTATAGACATTCACAAGAGTCAATCTTTTAAAAAAAATAAAAAAAATAAATAAAAAAAATTCATTGTCAGATCTAATATACTACAGTAGTTCTGACTCCCCTCCAGTTCGCAAAAAAAGACAGTTCTGTGGAAGTATGTTGAAAGCTCTTTATCCCTTTGCCAAAACAAAGACCATCCATCCGGCACAGGTATAATGCGAGTCATACGTGGATAAGAAATTTGTCCTATATAAATCTTTTAGTAAACATGTTTCTATGCCTGAATAGCAATTGTGGAGGATCACAGTCCGACCCAATACTGACTGTGATAGCCTTCCGACACATTGCAGTCTACGCAACAGTGATATGAACAAATTGCTTTTTGGAGATGTAAAAAAAAAATCCGTGGTGATCAGTGACAGTGGAAGGGGGAGGGGGAAATATATTTTGCTGTGAGGTATGCTGAGCTAACATGTTTGAGATCTGAGTGGGGGCCCACCTTACGGCAAGCTACTTTAGCTGTTGTCTGTTCTTGGTATTTTGCTCCCTCTAAGTTTAAAGGGTAATCCAGATATCGACCCCTTGCTAACGGTCCTTAGAGGGGTATTGGCTATACCTCACTGACTGGGATCAGTCTGATATGCAGATGGTCTAGAATCTCTTTGTAATGGCACACGATGAGCTAAAACTACTTTGAGATCTGAGCGGAAGGACAAGCTTCTTGAGCTGTTGCCCTTTCTCAGTATTCTCTTCCACCCTGTTTTTTATTTTATTTTATGTAGTGTACTTATGTGCACTTCTGCAACACCTTAAGCACCAACCGCATTTATTAACCATGTTCCTGTCCTCATGTGAAAACTTGAATACTAAAAAAAAAAAATATTAATTCAAGGTGTGCGTTTAAATCATTGAATTTTTTCGGGAATTCCCTGGTGTCATGTTTAATACATTGCCTGTGCAAACTTTACCTTCTGTCAATTACAAGTGCCCTTGAGTGTTTCCCCTAGTAGCAAAATTGTAAAAAAATGTCATTGATCAATGTAAGTACTGATGTGTTTGTTGTCTCTGTCTAGTGTAGAAATGCAGTGGAATCCTAGTACATGACGCAACATTTACATATCCCTCTTTCTCCTATGCAGTACACCAGCTAACACAGAACTCTAGCTCACTTGGTTTTATACAGTAATGGGATTTTGCTACATTACTATACTTTAAGTGCTGGATTTTAAATTTTTTATGTCCTTTCTGATCTGTGTCTGTTATGCATTCATCCCTAATGCATTCTACGGCAAAGCAGTAAAGCAAGAAAGAACAAGTTATTATCATCTAGTGGTTTACAAAAGATAACAGATGTTTATAGTGTGACTCTCTATAAAATGACCAGCACCTCTCTCAATCTGGTCTGAATATTATTATTATTATTATTGTATTGGTAGTATTGTTCTACTCTAACTACTCTTATGCTGGGATTTCAGGAAATATGGTCACCTTGTTCCAGGCTTTCCAAACCTCATTTACCAGATTTCTTCTAAGTAAAAGGAAATGTGATAAAATTATGGATACGTTGAAGAAACTATTCTGAATACCAGCAAAGCAGAAAGTCTAATTCAGTGTATTGACAAGCATCCAATGAGCAGTCCACTCTGGGCGCCTCCTATTCAGTTCTTATCTTCCATAAAATTTTACAGTGCCCATGCCTTTCCAATCATCATTAAATCACCTGTTTTCAAGACAAAAAGAAATAGGGAGCATTCAGAGAGGGGCAATCTAGCGCAGCTCTCGCATTCGTATCTGACATCATCATACCTCCCAAGAGTCCCTATTTAGGAGAGTCAGTTCCTATTTTGTGCCCAAATCCCTATATCTCTCTCTTTTTTTTTATCCTAATGTCCCTCTTTTGCCGGAGCTCACTATAGTTGGTGTATCTGAATTTATACCAAATCTTCACAGCGATAGTATTCACTGTAATGTGTTTTTAAACTAAAATAAATGTGTTTAGAAATCAGTCTGGATAAATAAACTTTCTTAAATAAACTGTTGTTCTAAATTGGGTTTTTGTTGCATACATTACTTTTAGTAAGTTACCTAAAATTTCTAACAGCAAGCCAGTCCCTGGCCATACCTCCAGGGCTTGAGTCCTGCAGGAACGCGTGGGAATGGCGTTCCAGCCCTTTCTTTTCAGCAGGAACGGTGTTCCTGCTGTTCCTGCAGGCACTCGGGCGGCAAAAAATGCCGCCCCCAAATTCCCCCCGTGTTCCCCATGTCATGTGGGGGCCCAAGAGGTGGCCTGATGGGCCCCCCGGTGGACGCCTGTCTCCCTGTCAGCAGCGGCGAGGGAGCTGTGTTCTCTCTGCTCGCTCTCGCTGCGCGCCGTTTGCTGATGCCGGAATATGATGTCATATTCCGGCTCCCAGCATCAGTAGACTGCCCGTGCGGCGAGAGGGAGCAGAGAGAACACCGCTCCCTTGCTGCGTCTGGCAGGAAGACAGGCGCCTGCCCCACTGGACCCCAGGGACAGGCCCACGCCAGCTCTCCAGGTAGGGAGGGTGGGTAGACATTTTTTAATTAAAAAAAATAAAAATAAATTGTGTGTGAGTGTATCTCTCTGTGTGTGTGTGCACCCGTGTATATATATATATATATATGTCTATATATATATATATATATATATTTGTGTGTGTTTGTGTGTGTGCACACATATATATATATTTATAATATACCAGTGTATATTATTGGGTGGGGCGGGGAGTTTTTGGGGGGGGAATCTTGGGTAAGTTCCCACACTTTATTCCCCCGGACTTGACCCCTGCATACCTCCATTCACACATCTAAAATTGAAACGTCCATCTTTTTCCATTGAAAATGTTAGGAGGAATGCATCATTAAGAACCCTGAAAGACCATACGATTTTCAGAAGAGATCTCAAAAATCATTGACTGAACTTTTAACATGTAATAACCTCCGATACCTTTTAAATTCTTCCCTTTACTCACCTTGCATTTACTCTTTTGCCTATTCTCAAAACCTTGCACTTCTACACATTACCTTCTTCATAGAAACAGGTGTCTCCTGTATATGCCCTTTATAAATACAGAAATATCAGGTTTAAGAGGAACAATTAGTGCTGTAGGATGTGCGTAGCACAATACATGTTTCATCGTTACAGTAGACTTGAGGTATAGTAAGTACAGTTGTTATAGTGTGTGGCAGCATCACATGATGTTGATCTTTGATGCCCAAGTTCTCTCCTAATGTGTCCATATCTGCAAGATTTAGCTTTGTGATGTCTATTCTATTTCAGAGGGAAGGATGCTGCATATGGAAGATGCATATGTTAAAGGGAGCAAATGGCCTGGGAATACAGATCACCGGGGGCCGAGGTTCCAAGAGGTCCCCTCATGGGATAGTTGTGGCTCACGTAGAAGAAGGTGGATGTGCTGACAGGTAAGTGATCGTCGCTAACCTCAGTAGCTTAATTTAAAAAAATTTTTTTTTACCATTTGCCACATACCATGTCAAGTGCCCTCTGTATCTATGTTCGTACCATGTCAAGTTCCCTCTGTATCTATGTTCGTACCATGTCAAGTGCCCTCTGAGTCTCCTGAAAGATTAACGGAGTATTCACAGTGGGAGAGTAATGGGTATACACAGTGAGAGAGTAAGTTAAAAGGTGTAAAACTGATATTTTAGCAATGAGCCTGACTAAATAATACATAAACATTATGTAATGAAGTGAAATCTAAATTGTAATTTAGCTAATATAAAGAACTATTTTGTGTTAATGGGATCATGAACACAAATTAAATCTTTGTATTTGCTTAGTTTGCCTATATTTTGCAATTTGGATTTCAGTTCATGACATTTCAGAGTTTAGTTTAATTAATAAAAAGAAATAAATCAGTTCTATGAAGATCGCGCTTTCATTTGTTAATGGTTTGACAGTTACCGTTTATTCCTAGGTGGTGTGTATATAGAGGCAATTCTCCCTCTTCTGCCCGTTAACTCCCAGATTAGTGTTATACATTTAGGTTGGGTTAATGAACCTCCCACTTTTTCGTTTTATATCTGGGACAGTTTCTGTGATGTCTGCCAAATAAATAAAGTTGCAACATAATTGGGAGATGACTTTACTCATATCCACTCCAAGGAGAGAATGACAGATTAATTTTGTCACTTATTGGCAACGTAATCTTAAGTATTGAAGGGGAGGAAGTAATTAAATTTGTTTACAGCTCTGCTAGTGACATAGAGCCAGAAGCAGGGACATTTGGATTCTTGTTTCATCCTCTTCGCTCTCTTCACCTTACTATAAAACTAGATTTGAATCTCTATGGGAATCTGGATGAATATACTCACTAATAATAAACGTATGGGCCTATTCACCAACTTTCATTGGAATAATAGTGATAAGTCCTTTTTATTCCCTTATCGGACTTAAAAGATATGAATCCCAGATTTAACATTATTTCTGTTAGATTCAACTTTTTCACTTAGCATTTGCAAATTAAAGTGGGAGGTTACATTCAAAATCCCTTTCCCCTTATCTGTGCATGTTCTCAATTTTAAAACTTCCTGTCAGAGTTGCACAGCATGTATAAATAGTAAAAGGGAAGGAAATTGATATTACCAGCCAACGCAAAATTAGTCTGTGCATAGACACAGCCACGGATAAGTAGATATCATCTTTAACAGGTAACAGCTGCATTCAAATATCCGCTAGTTGCATTGCATATTGCATTAGAATGATTGAAGTATTCTCTAAAGCATGGGTAGAACTAATGGAATTTTTTTTGTTCCTTACCAGTTTGTTTCATTCTGAATGAATTATTATTATTTTTTTATTTTTTTTAGGGATGGCAGATTAAAGGCAGGCGATGAGTTACTGATGATAAATGGGCAGTCATTGGTTGGAATCTCTCACCAAGAAGCTGTGGCCATTCTCCGGGCAACTGTTGGCCTTGTTCAGCTTGTAGTTGCCAGCAGGGTAGGTTTATACACCGTTATAATGTGACATCGTAACTTTGTCATCAGAATCGTTCCCTGAACCTTTATATATCTATTTAAAAATTGCTTATACCTTGTGTTGTTCTGTTTGGCAGATATTTTGTTACAAACTAAAGAAAAGGTTTTTTTTCCTCATTATGATTGTGAGGTTATGCCCCTTTCTTGAGTGTGATGTAGAATGAATGGGTAGACTGGACGTTGCTCCTTTAAAGTTGAACTGTAGGTTCTCATAAAAAGTCCACCGTCTAGGATGATAAGACTAAACATACAAAGCTACTCGAGAATGATTTAAAAGCAAGAACCAATTAAAGCCCAGACCTTATTAATCAGTTTTAAGATCTCTGTAAAGTTTTGACAATTGCTAGCAAGATATAAAAACTTTTACCAAACTTCATAAATTGAAGAGTGTTCACCAGTGGACCCCATCTAATCTGAACTGTTTGGTACATTGTGGAATTTAAAAGGTAAAATATCCCTCAAAATCCATTTCAATTCCAGGAGGTAACACTACAAAACATCAAAGGGGTAAATATATGTGCAGGGGGTACTCTACTTACATTTGTTAATTATTATAGATTAACATTAATAATTGATAGTGATATGAAAGGTTCACTTTCTCCTCCAAGTTAGGACATTAGACATCGTTTTGCATGTGTTTACTGTTCCCACTAGGTGTGGTGATGGGAACACAAACAGGTTAATTGTGTTTGTTAATTACCACACAATGTTGTAATGGCACTCTGAGACACTATTGACGTGTCTAGCCTGATGTAGATTGGAATATAGTAGTAATTCGATTTGGCACCTGGTAAGTATTTTTGTATGCGTCACTTCATTGATTTGAATACTACTACTCCACCTCACTACGCTCCTCCTGCTCCTGATCTCACTCATTAGCTACTATACTTGTTGTCAGTCTACATATTTTCTATTATACATATATGAAGTCTTGAAACATTTTTCTAGAACAAAATGATGCAATGTTTCCAGAAGCCAGTGGTATGAATTGTACATTCTCAAAACAACAGCACATGGAGAGACAAAATAGTATAAGAACAGCCAGGTGCAAACCATATAAACACTCCCTCAAGTGCTTTAAATATTCAAATGTATATAGAATATAGAATGCACACTATAACAATCTCAAAAAAAACTTTGCTTTATTATGTACAAAAAAGTACCAGAGTGAAAACATATAAGAAAAGATAAACAAAGTGACAGAAGCAAGGGCAAACACAATAAAACAATAGTAAATTACCACAAAAATTCTTACAAGCCTCCAGACAGAAACACGAGTCACCAAACCCCCCAACGTTTCGGCACCAACTGGCTGCCTTTATCAAGGGTACCCTGAAAGGCAGCCAGTTGGTGCCGAAACGTTGGGGGGTTTGGTGACTCGTGTTTCTGTCTGGAGGCTTGTAAGAATTTTTGTGGTAATTTACTATTGTTTTATTGTGTTTGCCCTTGCTTCTGTCACTTTGTTTATCTTTTCTTATATGTTTTCACTCTGGTACTTTTTTGTACATAATAAAGCAAAGTTTTTTTTGAGATTGTATTAATTGTACATAACATACATTTTGCTGTGACTTTTTTTTGATATTTCATTGCTAAAGTTAGGGATAACTCTACATTAATCTTGGGGTAGCACTGGGTCATCTGCCTGAGACTGGTTGGGATTTCCATAATCTCTAGTGACCGTGCTGGAGAGAAGGTTGAAAAACAGACTCGCACTGTTTCCTAAGTACATTAACAGTTGAGGAACCAGTTTAATAGCAGCAGCTGCATATATAAGCTGTAAGATTTGTAAATGTAATTTGTCTGTTGAAATAATGACCTAGTCTGCTCAGTAATATAGAATTCAAGTCCCCCTCTTTTTGTGTTTTTTTTTTTTTTGTCTGTAGTTCTGGTAGTGTAAATGTGTCATGGTACTTTGAATAAGGTAAGTGGCCATGTCAGGTCAACCTTGCTTGCGATGAGTTTTCAGCATTGCCTGCGTATTTACCAGTGTCATCCTTTTCACGTATTGTCATTTTAAGGATGGCACAGAGGTTGACTTCTGCAAATACCCATCTACAAGTCTACCGGATCTCGTCAGTGCCTGTGCGGCTCAGGATGGCTGTCCTACTGACAACAAAGAAAATGAAGAGCCAGACGGGGATGACAAAGAATGCAATGGGATGCCATCAGTACCGACAGCTGTGAGTCTATTCATTTTCCTCAATTATGCAATCATTGCTTCTGTTGCTAAGCCAGAGAAATACCCATTGTTTAGGAGAATATGTTGACTTCCCTGCACTGTGTGAATGGGTTTTCTAGAGGAAATAATATATGAAGTCACATTTTAGCGAAGATGTTTTTTTGTATTACTTTTTTTAACAAGTGAGACTACAAACTGCTGGCTACCAAAACAACAACAGCTGTTCCCCTTTTCCCACTATCCACATCAATGTATCGCTTCTCTGGATCACATTCACATGGCAATTTGTGTGAACGGTACCATCTACGGCGGCAGTAGCCTGTTTTGTCAGAAGCGACTCACAGCATGCAGATTGTTGTCCACATCCAGGCTTTTCTGCCCATCTATTTTAAATCTGGTTTCATTTATGTAAATTAAACCAGTTTTCCAAACCATAAACATGTGCAGAGTTTAAAAACCATATTGAAAAAACCTATACTACGCACCTGTGACTGCAGTCCCCATGATCCTTTTCCAGCTGTAGGGATGGTCAAGGAGGGAAAAATATTATTTATATATTTATTTTTATTTTTTTCCTTGTTCACCGCACCCTCAGTGTGACATTACCAACATGTTCTTACATGCAAATTAGTTCTGGCACTGAACAGAAAAACATATGGGGCAGATGTTTGCTTCTTTGAGGACAACGGGCTGTAACCATACATGGAAACATTGCCTGGAGACCTAGTCTCTACTGTTCATAAAAAGGCCTATATAGTAGGTTTTTCCATACAAAAAGATTACATTTTTTTCCAAAAATAACTGGAGTCTCTAAAAAGAGACAAGATGTTATCAGGTCAGGATGAAAAAGCCATGATTCTTTTCCCCAAAGCATGGGTTACCTCTCATTCGGAAATTCTAGACAAACCAGGCTGTAACGGACCGTTTCAGCACACAAGGATAAAATCTGTTTAGGCGATATTCCCCTTTTAAATACACGAACAGCTGCTGCAAGCACCAATCTCCCGAATTGCAAACACATAAATACTCAAACTCCCGAACAGGAAACACACAAACTCACCAACTCCCGAACACACGAATGCTGTCAAACAGCCGAACAGGAAAAAACATCCGAACAGCTAACACTCCTGACAGTCGCACTGTAACAGCATACAATCCAATTCCCCCCAAGAACGAGACGACACTTCTTTTGAGGGTCAAGCAGAACTCATTTACTAGGGCTACCTGCCCGGCTTTTATGCAGGTCTTCCACCTAGTGGACACTCCCCTAGGGGACCAGATGGAAGACTGGGAAACATATTGGACATTGACCAATCACAAGCTTACAATTTCACAATGCATCACAATCCCTCCTCTCTGTCCTGGAGATAATTGGGAAGTAATCCAATTATCTCCAAGGACAGAGGCAAAACTCCATTAACCACATGGCAGACAAAGGACAATAAAAGACATAAAATTACATACTGTTACATTTATCACATAGAACATACACATTCTACATATCCCCAGATAGCTTAGATCTGAGTGCACATTATTACCGGATGGCGCTCAGATCACATACATACAGTTCAATCGCCATGGAGCCAAAGTCTTTCATACAGTCTTTCAGTATACGGCTGGGCTCCATGGCATAGCTATCTGGGGTAGCATGGTTTAAACAGTAAAGTACCAAATGGACCGGTGTTCGGATAATTGACTTGCAGGTAGGAGAAGGGAGGTCGGCGGCTCAGTGGTGTTCGTGTCTTTAACAGTCCACAGAAAGGCACGAACCAGCCTTTCTGCAGGTAAAAAGAACAGTTTTAAACATGGGGCCATAGTCTAAAGGGAGCAGGCGAGCAACCAGGTTCCTCCAGTGGCCAGTGGCGAGGTTGGTTCCGCCACACAGGCAAAATATCCTATATGTCCTCATGTACTCAGAGTATTTCCAAGATCTAACTGAGGAGTAATCACATGAGCATTATGGAAAGATCCTGCTGAATGTCCCACTTTTAAAATGTTAACTTGTGATTGTAAGACCCCCTGTGTGCATACTGTAGGCTAGCTTGTTCTGGGGTACTCCTTTGAAACCATCTTATTATAAAAGTACAGATTTTGGCCACTATAGTGTGCAAGTGTCCATGATTTCCAATTCAGGGAGGTGGGTGCACTTTATCCATTTTCTGGCTGTCTGTATAAGAGGTGCACCTTGAGTAGCCAGCGTAAAGTGCCGTAAACCTGATTTTACCCACTTTTTTTTTATGTGTTGCCTATAATTAACCTCGCACTACATGTTTATATTTTTGTGATTGTTGAGTTATGTGCATATAAAATCCCAACCTTTTCCAAACTTATGACTACATACAAAATCTGAGAATTGCTAATACACTTCGTAAAAAAACAAAAAAAAACACGGTGCTACCTAATCCTTCTACCGAAGCGGCACAAGCCTGTTTACAAGTGCTTTTATTGAGAAACCCTGCATTCCTGGTTATCCAACAAATATTCATGGATTGGCATGGGAGGACCGATATCAAGTGGATATCCATTCATGTATTCTTAAGATGTATTCTGATTTCAACTGACTGTGAGATTTAGATTTCATTTTGTGTTTTACGTTATGACTACAAGTGAGTATTAGACTGTGCTATTGTCATAGGCGTGCGCAGCCTATTGCATTAGGGTGTGCACCCTAAAGCACAAACACACGCCGCGCGCGCGCGCGTGTGTGTGTGTATATATATATATATATATATATATATATATATATATATATATACACACACATATATATACATATATATATATATATACGTATATATATATTCACAGACACACACACTCACACTCACAGAAACACACACATACTCACACACTCACAGACACACACACACACACTCACTGACACACACTCACTGACACACACTCACAGACACATACTCACACACTCAGACACACACTGACACACACTCACAGACTCACAGACACATACTCACACACTGACACACACACTGACACATACTCACACACTCACTGACACACACACTCACAGACACATACTCACACACTCACAGACACACACTGACACACACACACACACACTGACACATACTCACAGACACATACTCACACACTTACAGACACACACTGACACACACTCACAGACACACACTCACACACTCACAGACACACACACTCACAGACACACACACACACTGACACACACACACACACACACTCACTGACACACACTCACAGACACACACTGACACATACTCACACACTCACAGACACACACACAAATTATTATATTTTAATTTTTTTTTTAAATGTCCACCCAGCCTCCTACCTGGAGTGCTGGTGGACTTGTCCCTGGGGTCCAGTGGGGGCGGGCGCCTCTCTGCAGGTCAGCCGCGGCGAGGGAGCTCTCTGCTGTCTGCTCCCTCTCGCCGCGCGGGCTGTCTGCTGGAGCTGGGAGCCGGAATATGACGTCATATTCCGGCTCCCGGCATCAGCGCGCGGCGAGAGGAAGCAGAGAGCAGAGAGCAGAGAGCTCCCTCGCCGCGCGCTGAGCTGCAGGGTGGGGGGGAATCATCACCTCTTGCCCTCCCATGACAGGGGCAAGAGGTGAAACAGGGGACACTGAGTGCCTGCAGGAACAGCGTTCCTGCTCAAAAGAGTGCAGGAACGCTGTTCCTGCAGGACTCAAACCATAGGGGTGCGCACGGGGATTAGGGTGTGCCCAGGCACACCCGGCACACCCCGTGCGCACGCCTATGGCTATTGTGCTTATTGGAAGACAAATATTGTTTCTGACACATCCGTGCCATTGCCTCCTATGACTGCATATTCCTGCTTTTGGTGTATTATCCATACTGATAAATGTTTGTTTTGCTTCATTCTGGATATTGATTATTCTAGTTACAATGGCTCCCCAGTAAACGATTATTTGGTAGTTACAGACCTAAATTTAAAAGGATGTCACTGAATTTATCTATAACTATACAAACACAAATCTTGAGGTTTTCAAATGGTTTGTGGCTGTAATGTTTTATCTGGTGACACTAAATATTCAATTTGTACTGTAGCAGAAACCTAAATTCGGATGGTCTAAGACCAAGATCCAATTTGCCCATTTCCCTCCCTTAGATGATATAGTCTGTTTGTATAACACATGTCGTTATAGAAGGGGTGAACTCTCAATGGACCTTTAGTGGCGGATGGGATGTACGCATTGTCAATGCAGGAAAAACATCTTTGCTAACCTTTACAGTAAATTTTCTTCATATGTTCTCTCTGCTGTCAAACGGTTTTCTCTGGACTACGTTTCGTAGAGGTCAATAACAGGAAACATTAACTTTTTTTGTTATTCTATATGTTAAAAACTGCTACTTTGTCAAGGTGCAATTCCTATGTCTAAATGGGGTTAACAGATATTTGGGTTTTTGTTTTCCAATGTGAGCTTTTTGATTTCCTGAGAATTCTACAGACAGCAGTTGTTCTACTTTTGGAACGCTGGTAGAGAGGCCTGCTGATCTACTGCTTAGCGGAAGATCAGTGATCTTTATGCAATGATTTTTTTGATTTTTTTTTCAGCGATACTAACGAGAGGCATGAGGAGGGAGTACAAACTATTCAGTTTAAACTGCTGTGGCTGGTCAAATGTTGTGCACGATAATATATGGTAAAACATAAATAGGGTTATTCACTAAAGTGAGAATTGCTGAGAATTCAAAGTGAATTTTGAAATGTAGGCAAAAATAGCTAAAGTAGAAAAAATAAATTAAATTAAGTTTATTTTTGTTCATGGCAATTCTCATTCTCATTTAGTAAATAACACCAATACTTATTTTTTAATTTATTTTTAATTTTTCGTGCTGCTCTACACAAATAAAACGTATGTAGGAAGGGAAAAAGAACAGCTTTAAACCCCAAAAAAAAATGAAACCTGTAGTAATAATTTATACTTGGTGTCTGACACTCAGACGGCATTTGAGAATAATTTTGATGTATAGGAACATGATGTTAAAGTGGTTCGGGCTTTGCGTTCTATCCCAGTATTCATTCAGGGCTGTTATTAGCAGATATGTGACCGTGGATCACAGTGTTTTTTTGCAGATTGACCTTAAGAGATTTACTACTGAATCGTGCACATCTGTGAAATCTATCTCAACATATGTATTCCTGCTATAGTAATGGGATTCCCACGTTTAGCACAGTCTTAAAAGGATTGGCAACTGCTTTAACATTCAGTTGTTGACTTGAATTAAATAGCAATACCAGAAGTACTTTGGCCTAATTAAATCTATCCCCACAGGGCAGTTTAACCCTGACAAAGTCTATCTGGTTGTGTAAATGTAATCACTCCAAATTAAAGTGCTCTACCCTTTATGTTTCTTGGTTTAGTATCTTCCTGACAAGCTGGCTGCACAAGTCCAGCACTATGAATACCTGCTGATTGTCACAGCTTTCCATAGACCGTCCCTAGTTTTTTTTTCTGTGGAAATATTGTTCTCTTCTAGATACCTCTATGGCACTCTTATTCTGTCAAATTACCAAGAAATAAAATAGGGGTGGCCAAATTGTTGCTTATTAACTTTATCTACTGCCCTTTATCTAGATGTAAATAAGGACTGTTTTTAAGGGGATTATTGTGTTATAAGGCAAGTAGGCATAGTCCCATTTAGGTGGCATTGCTGCCATTTCCTTTTCCTGAGAAGACTTATACACATAACCATTACTGGGACAAACACAGGCCCGTTCCAGGTATACGATAGTTCATTTTTACAGCTATTTTATTGCATCCTTTTGGGTCTCAGTGATGAGATTTATTTTCATAACTTAATATGTCCGACAAACCCCTTAGAAGGCGGAACCTACCACCAATTTTGTATGTTTTGCCCCATTTCATATGTTTTTTCCTTTTCCGTTCGGAGAACCCCTGTACCTTATAAGAACGTTTAAGTGCGAAACCGCAAGGGAAGTAATTAATGAATGCTTCCCCTGGGTGGCCGGCACTTCGTATAACCGAATGGACGTGGTCGACAAAAGAATGGCTGCCATTTTGCCTACTAAATGTGGGCAGCGGCACTTGGTTGTGGAACTCTTTTCTGTGAGACACTTGCACATACCCCGGTAAAGATTAGACCGCTGCCCGTTCTACTTCCCGAACAACTATGCAAACAACATTCGGGAGAAATTAACTACCAACCAGGGGGAGCATTAGTGCCCTGAAATTAAGAGAATCCTGTCAGGGTATTTATATCGGCAGACATTTTGTGCTATGATAGAAACTAAAAGTGTATATTCTGAGTCACTCTGAACAGACCAGACTCCATTTTGTTATTTTCAAGCTAACAAAAGACACAAGATTTCTTTCTGTAAAACTAACCACTTTGCCAGAGCTAAAGGAATGCATAGTATATACAAACCAAGTTATAAGAAGAATATAATCAATTCTAAACCCAGACAATTGTGACAGAGAAGATTAAATAATAACATTTTACTGTCTATATATATATATAAGGTACCATTGTATGGAAAAGGGTAAACTTAGTTCATGATCTGCCATATCAGAAATTATAGCAGGAATTGCAGACACTAAGTCTGGACAAAACTTAAAGAAACCCTTTGATCTGAAAGGATACGTAAGTTATAGTGGTCATTTGAGATAAGCAAAATGATGTCAAAATAGCCACCAGGAAAAGTTAACTCTTTCCTGGATAGGTATGTTTAGTGGGACAAGACTGCCCTCTAAAGACCAAATAACTAAATTGCGATCTGGAAGATAACCACACCTCTAGTGCTTCTATTGGGTTATCAACTGATGACGTACAGAGAGTCTGGCCCTTTAAAAGTTAGGACAAAGGGAAGATTGAGAAATGCAAATGAGAAGGAAAAAAAGGAGAGAGGAATTGGAAGTTTGGGGGACTCCAACTCGGACAACATCTGAGACTAACACTCTACTCTTAAAACTCTAACACTTAGAATTGTATTGACTTTCTAACCAACACCACCTTTCACTATAACTCATGCACCTACAGACATCCAAATAAGCTCCTGGGACTATCTACCAATCGGATGAAATATCTACTCAACTGGTAATTATACTGGTTTCATTTAATTAATTAAATAAAATTTACTAATAGCATGATATATGACTAGGATAAAGCACGGTCAGATTTCCATATTAAGAAATCTTAGTTAACTAAAGAATATATAGTTATAAACATTCCATTCTGCAGGTGGAATTAAGAATAATTATATATTGATGTGATATTATCATGTGTTAGCATACCGCTGTTTTTATCCAGATGTATTGATTTGCTATAAAATAAGATAAAAGATCTATTTAGGCAAATTAAAAACAAATTCTGCTTTTGTAAAAAATCATGGTAGATTCTCTTATTTGATGGTTCCAGGAAATGACTAATGAACTGGTTTAAATGTTATTTTATTTAAAATTACATAAGAATAGATCTTAACTATCTAGGAGATCTAGCCAGCATTGAAAGGGTTATTCTAACTGTTAGCCAGGGTTTTATGGCCCTTCGCTGTGAAAAGCTTCACTTTCAGTCTTTAAAGATAGTCATAAATAAAGTCTTGACAGAAAATGCTGTTTAGCCATTGAAATGTGTATAGCCATTCCTTTGTATTGCATATCATTTTATACTGGATATTCATTGATTAGTGTCACGCATGTTACATCTTATTATTAAGTAACTTGTTGTTATAAATAAAATCTATTTTTAATAAAATTGTGATATTATTTATATGAAATACATTCCACTTAACACGATAACGATATTTGGGATCTGAGAATTGAATTAGTGGGCAATTCTCACTGTTACTATTATTATCCCATAAATATCCCCACAATCCCTTGCATGGTGTTCGCACAGGAACCCCTGAACAGAGACCGGCCAAGACACCTATTTCCCTGGAACTGTTTTGGGCTAGTGCCTTGTGTCTGGCCAGTCAAAACTTTACCTCGATGGCATTCCCATTTCACCAAACCGATCTGAGTGATCTTTGGATATGTTATACACTCCGATCGGGCCTTTCCGGGTATATAACTTTTGTGAGGTTCCTAGTTATGGTGGGCACAATTTTGGAGTACTGTATATTTTGTATAGATTTTCTGTACCTGAGAGATAATTAAATAGTTTTTTCCTCATGCACAAAGGATCCTGGGAATGAAACCCCTGTTTTATTCTATTGGAGACCCCATGTAGGGGTCTGTGCATAAAAGCCGCGTGGGGAAATAAATCCGTTGACTCCCTGAACTATGTTTTGTCTGGTTTCTGGGGAAATGGATGTCTGCATGTTTTAATGGTTCCAGTCTGGCTGAGAGAAGAAATTAGCGGAGGTAACCAGTCAGGTTACCCATGGTCCACTACAATGGCTATGTAATGGGCACTGTTGACTACAGGGTACTCCTGCTGAAATAAGTGGTGCCATAAAAACAGTGACAGTGAGTTTGATGCCAACAATTTATAACCTACCTTCCTTCTGATGCCCATCTAATTGATTTATTTTGTAATTTCTTATAAATCTTTATATTGTTTGAGGAATGCAGTTTGTGAACTCAATGTATTTTAAAAGTCTACATTCATTGAAGTCGGCAGAAGAAGTAAGCTTTGCCGCCTTTATTTACAGAGATATGTTGTAATATGAAAATAATGATAATGAGGAGCAATTGTGTTTTTCTATGAGAATAAGTAAATCTCTATATTTGGTGTCAGCATGTTTAAAGAGTGTTCTATAAACTGAATGATCACACAGATAACCAATTAAATATAGCAGGAATATTCTCTAAACATGTATAAATAGTTTATCTGAACTTTATCTGCCAGATAGTTACAAAAGCAAGGTGTTTGGCAAGAAAAATATTAACATTTATATCCAGGAGAATTAAGTTTTCTGATATTATTTAACTTTGAACTTCTCCATTTGAAGATCATAAAATAAATGATGCACTTTCTAAGTAAAATCAAATGTGTTCTCCTGGCACTGGAACTGGGCTAGCCTGTCCAACACAGAGAAATTTGTCAATACTAACTTCATGCTGGTCAGGATTATAGGGGTTGACCAAATGCCAGGCCTCCGGCCCAGAAGACACGATACCCCCTGAGACCCCATACCAAATACGCTTAATATATGATACCCAACATGGGGACACTTTTCAAAAAGTGCAGCCTCACCTCTAAAATGTTGATTCTGGTTGATACCTGGACAATTCCCATTTATGTAAATGTTCTAATATATAGCAATAATGGCCTTTTTATTAGCTGTAGTTATACAACCGTGGCCTTTGCCATCACTCTTTTGCATTCTTGTTAAGCCAACACATGTAAACAAACTGCGTTCGCATATAATCTGGAGCAGAGATGAACCGATGCAGTCAAAAAGTTACAGGAAATATGTTAGCATTCATTGAGGACAATGCATTCCTTGGCCAGTGTGTACATGCTGAATTCAGAATAAAACCGGAAGGAAGAGTCCAGATATGTGAATTGTTTCTGATGAATGTCAGCCAACAAGACCTTATTGATAAAATAGAAAACAATAATTGCAAATCCTTTGTTTTGTTTATCTTATTTGTAGAAAATACTCACTATTTTGGACTGTGTGATGTTTGTATATTTTCCACAGACATGGATTGTCTTGAATCATAACGTAGGAGTTATTTATCATGCTAATCAATTTGTTATGTTTTGGGTTTTTTAAATAGTCTTTCACAAAGCATATGGTCCAGCTCTCATCTCCTTTCCAAGTTGTCCGCTGGATACAATACAGAACACGTTGCAAGGAACTAAGAAACAAATTATAAAATGTACTGGATTCTCTGTCTGCCTGACCACAAAATACCACCAGGGCCAAGTCTAATCCTGGGATTCTTGACATGTCTATGAAATTATCACTCCATCCTAATTGGGATTTTATCTTTTTTTTTTTTCTTCTCATCTGCCTTCTTAAATTACCTATATTAATACCTTCCAAATGTTTCTCTATATGAGTGATGAACTCTCACTGGGACCCAAATGCTTTAGTCCTTTTTTATGTAGTAGACCTCTTTTGCAGAAGGTCAGAATTTTTGAATGTGAAGGAGTTTATAATAGTGCTTATCACCATTGATTGCAGTATATCTTTAGTGAAAATTACGAGAAATTAGTTTGCGTAAATAAGTATCTTTGTTCTTGTTCTAAATTACATTTTGTAATTGCATACATATGCAATGCTTTCCTATGGGGAATTTTAAAGATGTCAGTAGTCCTAATGCAAAGAGTTTGATAGCACAGAAAAAGAGCTTATTATGGCTGTCTGGAAGAGGTGGAGTTAACCCAGCATCTCAGAAAATTTTATATTTTACATTGCTGGTTAAACAGACAGTGGCACTGCACCCAGACTCATTTAATGAGATTAAGTGGTGTGGGTGCCTATAGTGTCTCTTTAAGTTGACTAAAACAGTTCTAAATATCCTTTCCCTTGGCTATAGCTCTGCACACTCTGATAGAAATGATTCCCCTTTTGACCAGTTAGATACTTGAAATCCATTTTCCATAAATCCTGAAGAGAAAAGTATCAATTGATAACCAGCATTTCACACTACTCCTCTCGTGCTACCTAGATTACCATTGCACTATAGTAAATCTGATGACAAGTCAACACTTGCTCAATAAACAGTGTTTGTTAGACATAGACAACCCTTCTTCCCACAAGGCAGATAAAATGTCCAAAGTTAGAAAAACGAATTATAGCGCAGTAGCTGTTGACATTCTGTTTTATTTTTTTATTACACACAGATACAGCAATGTATTGTCAATGTTTGACAGTGATCTTTAAGATCAACACATTACTGTGTCTGTGTGAACCCAATATACTAAAGGGAACCACTGCTGGAGTGTGCTGGGCATCATTTTCAAATTTTGGACTATAAAACACTATCATGGGACCTGAAACATGATGTGTAGATGTCTGATGTGGTATGGTAGAGTTGAAATGCAGGCAAACCTCAGACCATTGAAATGACATTCTGGAGTCTGTGAAAGACCGGGTTTTGATCAAAGCAGTTCATTAGAATTTAGGGCCTTCAGTTGAATGAACTGGATCAATAGCATTTGCCTTAAACTACGAGCAACTGCTGCACAATGTTTATTAAATTGATTTAAAACATCAGCTCTGCATGGTGGTCACACAGAACCAAGAGAATGTCTTGTGATGTGTTTGAGCAAAGCTCTTGTTGGTCAGTGAGGATGTGGTAATCCATCTGGGTCTGGTTGAAGTGGTGGAATTCAGATGCAGGGAACCATACACTTTTACTAACAGAATCCTCCACAGGGGCATGGAGGTGGAGAAAGGGTTCTAAAAAGTATGAGGTTGCACAGGGGGCCTTATTATAGAGCAATGAGTCACAGCAGGCTGGAAAACAACCAAACAATTTCTGGGGCATGCACAGGGGCTTTATGCGCTAATACAGCGCTACGGAATTTGTTGGCGCTATATAAATAATAATAATAATAATAATGTCAGTATGGTCGGTTCTTACCTTTAGGTAGAGTCTAGGTGGTGTGCACATGTTAATTCCAGGGACTTAACACCATCCCACTGTCCCTGCTCTTTCATAATCGTGTCCACTGCTGCTCTGGGGTCCTCAGGCACTTCCAGATGCAGCCCTGACCATCTTAGATTGATCAGCATGCCTCACCAGGAGGACACGTGTGCACTGAGGGGGCAACAGAGAGCAGGACCACCATGGTCCTTCCTTCTAGATGCTGCAGACGCCCAATAACAGGGAACTACCACAGCACAACAGGTGGAAAAAGGCAAGCTCTTAGTTCAACAAACTACTGAAGCAAAGAGTGCACCAGTTTAAATAAGACATTTGGTCTTCCACTTTTTTGATTACAGACTGTGCACATAATCTTTGTATCTGCTTCAAGCTAGATACAAACCACTACATGTGCCATCCCTCTTCTTTTGCTATGTGTCTGGCCATATGTGCCATCACTCTGGCATTCTATACATTTCTGGCATGCAAACTTTCCACAGGTTCCCAGTGAATTATTTAGTCTTTTTCTGCAACAGCCACATTTTTGTTCTCTCTTATTTGTCTGACACATACTTTGTCATTGCCTGATACCTACCTTTAATAGATTTCCATTTCCCATCTTAACCATTTTTTGCTACACATGGATCAATTTCTACCAATTTTGATCTCCTTGAAAATGTTGCTGTCTTGTCAGTTTTACAATTTTGCTAAAATATTATAATTTGTGGCATTGCACTTGAGCTGGCTCCTCTTTACGTAGTCTATATCTACTCTACATGTCTTCTGTTGTTCCATTTTCTCTTTTGTCCAACACAGTCGTATATGGGGTAGCTCCAGATTTTGAGTATACTTTATCTTCCAGGTCCCATTCACCTATTCTTCATTATACAACAGTGGATACTATATTTTAAAGGGACAATCACCTGTTGTAGTGGTTAATATGCCAACTTGCCCACAGTCGTCTTCTCTGGCTTAGTGACAAACGGTTTCCAAGCAATTTGTCACAAACAGTGGATCCCTGTGGCTTCCATAGTGTGGGCCTCTCAGTTGGCACATTGATATTGTGGATGTAACATCTCTACATTAATATGAAAGCAACCAAGGTGTCATCATGCCACCTGCTGTTGCTGTTTTTTTCCCCCCAATATGTTTTTCTGCCATTTATTATTCTGGTACTTCAGGGAGAGAGAGCTTAACTTTTGTTCCAAATAATTGTAAATGTCTCATGTACTAAAGTAGAATGTAATCTTTAATATCTAAAAAAAATTCACTGTTGGCCACCGCAGTATCGGAAATAAATGATCAGCTCTGGCGTGCATCTAAGAATTGATAAGCAAATGAAAAGTGGGCTTTGTAATGACGTTTGTGTCAAATCCACTAATAACACTTCTTCCCCAAGCAAACGGGCATGTGTTCAGTGATTGTTATGATGAAAAGTGTTTTTGTGTGAACCACTGCCACAAAATGCAATTTCCTTTGCAAAAAAAACAAAGTATGTATTAAAAACCGGCTGTATTTCAAGAACAGTGCTCGGTCCAACTGATTATTAAGGCAGAGTGCAGGAAATCTTGACTGTCTAACCTTTATTATATTCAAATAATATTTAATAACTGCGGAAAACCAAAGCAATCATGTAGCAAAGTAAAGCCTGGCTCGGAAAATTTATCCTGCTTCTCTTGTGAATAGGAAAGATTTTATTGCCTTTTTGTTCCTTTAACAGCGGTAACATAAAAGTAGTTGCACTGAATATTTTTATGCATAAATTTTAAAGTATAAAAAAAAATGGGGCACAATTTTTTTTGAAATCTTTAATATTGCAGTAAATTATAGTTTTATTTACAATTCTATTCACAGGCCAGTGGGACCCTGTGTGCATCTTGGCATGTGGGTCCCTTTAATAAACATTAACAGTTTATTTTGATATACTCTATTAAATATAAATAGTGAACAATAGAACCTACAAGATACTAATTAATCCTGCGTTTAGATGTATTAATAACATCACTTTAAATATTTGTAGAACAAAACCCCCTTCGTTTGCATTAAACATTTAATATAAAAAGTAATACACAATAACACAGTTTTCATACACATACACTAGTTAAACATTTAAAAAGTAATTAGCAATAACATACTCTTTTCATGCACATACAGTAGTTAAACTAATAGTTCACACATACTTAAAGGACAAGTGTCACCTCTAAAAATATTTTTAATACATTAATTCTGTTATCAAGAAAAACTCATCCCTATTTTTGCTATATGGCAGGATCCTTCAGCCATGAATACGCACCTCGGGTCAGACAGTGTGAAAATGGAAAATTAGTCTCTGTGGTCTTCTCCGCTTCACTCCCTTCACAGAAGCTGGGAAGATAGTCTCTGTCTGTTTTTAAACACTGTCTGACCCAAGGTGCATGTAGATGGCTTAAAGGATCACTATAGGGTCAGGAACACAAACATGTATTCCTGACCCTATAGTGGTAAAACCACCATCCAGCACCCTTGGGCTTCTCATGCCTCCATAAATATAGCTAAATCCTACTGTATTCAAGCCAGAAGCTGTAGATCTGCATGCTGTTTGCTGTTTGCTAAAAAAAAAAAAAAAAAAAGTAGTCTGCTGACATCATCAGAAGTGGTAGCCTGATCCAATCACAATGCTTCCCCATAGGATTGTCTGAGACTGACAAGGAGGCAGTTCAGTGGCAGAGCAGCATGATTCAAACACAGCCCTGGCCAATCAGCATCTCCTCATAGATATGAATTGAATCAATGAGTCCCTATGAGGAAAGTTCAGTGTCTGCATGCAGAGGGAGGAGACACTGAATGTTTTTAGGCAGCCATGACAGCTATCTGAGGATTGGCCAGTGAAGTTATCACTAGACTGTAATGTAAACACTGTATTTTCTCTGAAAAGACCGTGTTTACAGCAAAAAGCCCGAAGGTAATGATTCTACTCACCAGAACAAATTCAATAAGCTGTAGTTGTTCTGGTGACTATAGTGTCCCTTTAAGGATCATGTTATACATTATGCTTCTTGTTATTTTTATTTTTTATTTTTTTTACATACACTTTAAAAAAAAAAAAAATTCCTGTTTCTTTTCAAAGTGTGAAGAAAGATTATTAAAAATAGATTTCAGGCGACAGTTATCCTTCAACTTATACAGCCCATACATTTCCCTGCAGATCATCCAGTAAACTCTTTATAAGAGATTTTTTTTTTTCAGTGATTGTATTATGAGTTAGTCTGTTGTGATTATCTTTCGGTGTCAAAAGTATTTTTACAGCTCACTGTTGACTTGTTCTCTGGGCTGAAACCCGTCAGCCTAATTCTGGTTAAAATATGATTACGATTAGCAGAAAACTATTCTAAATGTCAAATAAGTGAATAATTGAGTTTTCAAACTCCAGAGACTATTAGTAGGGTGTACAATATATATATATATATATATGATTACACAATGCACAGTAAAACATTAATGTAACATGTAGCAGATTTGTAGAAGTGTTAGAATTGTTCATCATTAGAATCAACTTAGCTGCGTCAATATCCTGCAGTATATCTGTCCAAACATTACTGATCTAAACACTAAGAATAATTTAAAACCAGCCCTCAACTTCCCAAATACTGACTGATGTATTTTTGAATACATTGTCATTAGAATAAAAGCGACATTCAGCTCATTTATCGAAACTCATTGCATATATTACTAGAAGCTCCTTAAGTAAATGCCAATGCGTATTTGTGCTGTGAATTGTGTACTGTGCTATTGACAAGGTTTCTACACCGAATAATCTTTTACCTTTACATGGTTACTCCTATGTCGATGGCCACTTCTGCTTTTAGATGTGGCAATGGACATTGGCCACCTCCTTTTTAGAAGTGGCCAAGGAAGGAATCTGGCTGTGCAGTGTTTCTGCTTGAAAAACTTCATAACCAGAGCTATTTGCACTTGTGTGCCAGGGCGCTAGTTACTCCCCCGGCCCATGTGACTTTGGTATTTGTAGTGTTGGGAGTAGGGGGGGACCTAAATTCTAATTATTCTTTTTGTTTTTTGTTTATAAGGGTTGGAAAGGTTGGAGAAACGATTTAACTCTCCTCTTTTCCCCTATCTTCATGTTTCTCATTTAATTTCTTATGTATTTTTCTTCATTATCTCTCTCTATAATTCAGTGCCTTAAAGGCTATATACATTGAGAAGTAATGTTAATACATTATTATTTTCACAGTATTTACACTTCTCACATTATTATTTTTTTTTTTAAATCAAACCACCAGCTGGTGGGAGGAAAAGACAGAATTTGCTCATGTAGTATACCTTACCACCTCATTAGCAGCCTATGAGTTTTCCTGTGACTTTGTTGAGGATGCACATTTTTGGATCACGATCATAATCTTATGCCATTGTATGTATTGTAGAGTATGCTTCCATCTGAGTGTAGGAGGAACAAGGAGCACTTGTTCTCCAATAGTGTCCCATAAATCTGAGAGATGTACAAAGGTGGTGAAGCAGTGCTGTAAAAAAAAAAAGTAAATGGTGTCAGGGCTCTGGTGAGACTTTGGATGTTAGTGGGTAATCGGAGACTTGATGATAAGTAAAGTTACGTGCAAAATATTAAGGTGTTTCTGGAAGCAAGAAGAATATTGTATCACAGTTTCTGGTGTAAGCATTGGCTTTGTCTTCAGGGCAGGCTTAAGTGGGAAAATAAAAAATGGAAAAGTGAATGGCGCTTACACAATAGAAAGAACACAAAGGTAGTGGTGGGAAAATGCATTTATTTATAAAATATTTTACCAGGAAAGATACATTGAGATTTCTCTTGTTTTCAAGTATGTCCTGGATCCACAAAACATTGCATTGATACATTAGTGTATAATAAAATGCAAAAACAATATTAATACACAATACATACAAAATTTAACATAGAACAGGTAGGAAATATATAATCAACCATGACAGGTGCATTCTGTTTTGAGGTATGTAGAGAGGGATCTCTTAAATGACTTTAGGCTTAGGGAAGATTTGAAATTGTGCTGGAGGTCTTTGCACAATTGTGGCGCTCTGTAGGAGAAGGAGGATCGTGCCGCTTTCTTTTTGTATTGAGGTAGACTAAATAAAGTGCTGGTACTGGATCGGAGGTTATAGAAGGTGGAAACAGCCGAGGAGAGCATTCTGCTCAGGTAGGGTGGGAGCTTCCCAGAAAAGCTCTTAAACACAAGGTGAGCTTTAAATCTGTCTGGGATATCTTGGGTATGACGCAGAGGGCTTGGGTTTGTGGATAGAAAATGTTTCACTACCTCAGTGTGTCAAATCGTGCCAACAGATTATGGTAGCCAAACTCCATCCTTAATTGTGTCATTGAAGAGTGGACATATCACAATCTGCAAGAGATCCTTGTAGGGTGACCCATAGTTTATATTTGTGCTCCATGCCACTACTCTGAAAATATGTGCTTCTAAACATAATGGTCTACCGGACTATGCTTTATAAAGAGAAAAAGGATTTGGTAATATCATGTGCAGAGTTGGGACTAATTTTTTAAAATATCCATATGGGTTTTTAGAAGGTTAAGGTGGTCACCTGGTATCGGCATGACTTCCACAAAGATATATATGGCAGATATTTGGACCCAGTGGAGGAACTGGCAACTATTTGGCACGTAAACATTTGAAAATGTGAATTTTACACCACTAATATGACCCTTCGTGAAAATGTATCTACGTCCAGTGTCTCTTTCTGCATCTTGTTCTACATGGATGGTATGTCTGGAACAGGATCCCCGTACCTTTTCAGTTTCATGTAGAGTGGTTACAGAATGAGCTAGTGGGAAAGTTCCAACCCCATAATAGGTCCACTTTAGAGTCTTCCACCATCTTTTCTGGCTAGTTCAGACCTTAATCATGTTGTGACTTAGATTCGCTGGTACACATTTCCTGTATAGAGTATCATCACTCATGACTGTTGCAACATTGGGAAGACTGAAAATAGATGGGGATGGGTAGAGGTGAAGATTGAGGATAAAACGAAAAGAAGTATTATGCTACAATAGAATTAAACAGAGTGTTGATTTACTCTGTCTTCTAAAATTATGAATACTGTGAGGATTCCAGAATCTTGCATGGACATCTTGTTCAGCTGCTTTAACACTGATAACAAGATAAACATTTTTGTTTGATGTGTTTATTTAAAAATGATTGTTACTGATTTGAGCCAGTTAACTTGGAATTGGACTGGAATTTTTTCTATGTAACCAAAAAGCCAGTCTTGGCAGCAGCCAAAAACATTGGGGATGAAAACAGATGTGTTATCCTTATTCAAAAACTGTGATTCATTTTGGAGCTTTTATGTACATTTGTTTTCTCATGTTATTCTTCGTTGACTGATTAAGACCCATATATAATGTTTAATATACCTGGAAAAAGAACTAGAAAAGCCCACCAATTGTTTATTTACACCTTTCATAAATCATGCTAGCATAGATTGTATTCTAATACTAAATAGGGATTTTAAGATTGATTAAACAATGTGTGAGAGAATCATAAATACAGAGTAGACTTAAGCTATTGTACTCCACGTCAGTGGTTCCCAAGCCAGTCCTCATGGCCCACCAACAATCCAGGATTTATGTATTTTCCTATTTTATTCCAGTGGAGATCCTGAAAGAACCTGGATGATTGGTTGGTCTTGAGGACTGGTTTGGAAACCACTGCTCTAAGTAGTTTGTTACCAAGTCATAGTTGTGTGGTTAGGCAGTGAAAGAGTGAAACCTACAATAATAATTTACCCAGCTTCACCCCAAGTACAATCTTCCACCTGCACTATGTGTCATATGTACTTTGGATATTTGTAATATAAATAACATTCATTGTACATGTTGGATCAAGAGCTTAAATAGACCTCTTAATCGAATATTGTTAGACCCAGTATGTATGTTTGTTCTTATGAAGGCAGGGATAGTCAGGAATGTTGGGCAATTGTCTACTGTTCACCATGGCTTTTCTGTAATATAATGGAACAAAAGTGTGCATTCTTCCTTTTCTTTATCACTCTTGCCCAGTGGATGAAAAACTGTTAACTGGTTTGCATTCCATCATGATATTAAATTGTGCCGTTCTCATGCACAAACCATGTGTTCTGTACAGGAATCTCATATATTAAAATGGCACTGTCACGCTGAACTTACCTTTCTCCTATTGTTTCCTCTTCTCTTCCTCTCCCAGAATCCGTTTTTCTTTTCTTTATTTCTGCTCTAGTTTTCTTTAAAATCCATAGACTTTTGATGCTTGACTTTGACCAAAGGATGAGCTTATGTCAGCTCCATTTCCTGTGTCAGAGAGAGTGCTCACCCTGCTCCTTGACACAGGAAATGGAGCTGACTTAAGCCCCTCCTTGGGTCAAAGAAAATCAAGCATCGGAAAAATACACAAGACAAAGTAGTCTCTACTTTACCTTCGCTTTTAAAGAAAACTAGATCAGAAATAAATAAAAGAAGAACGGATTCTGAGAGAGGAAGAGAAGAGGAAACCATAGGAGAAAGGCATGTTTGGCATGACAGTGTCACTTTGTCATCCTATCAAACCCAACTAAAACAAAAACTTTAATCCCGGTTCAAATAGGATTCCACAATATATAATTTGGGCATAATTGTTGAGTTGTATTCTCTGAAATAACCATTCAAAGTCTCTCATACCTATTTTTTTCCATAGATAGAAACTTAAAATATGAAAGTTACAAGATCAAGGAATATTTAAATATTAATAATATTAATATTTGGAAATATCTGAATAATATAACTATATAAAATACAAGTATTACCAAAACTTTCTTACTATTCTAGCCACCAGTATTTTTAGAGCTCATTTGAGGTTGCAATCTATGAGAAATGTAACTTGATGCCAGTAATGATTTTTTTAAAAGTGTTCTCAATTGTATTGGAGATGTATCAGAAAAATCCTTTGATGTCTTTGGCAGTCCAACTCATTTTGTGATGAATGATAATATATCTGTATTTAATCAACAACGTGTTAGTATTTGCACTTGGATGCTATTTATATGACTCAGAGATTCAGAATATAATATCAGCCTTTATTTTAGGGGACCGAAACAGACAAATTGCAAGAAAAGACATCTCCAGAAGAAAGCAGGAGTGTTTGTCGGAGTCCCACATTAGGCAACTGTCTTCTTAAATATAGAAGTCGTTCTCAAGGTATTTTGTGTTTCTTTGTGTGTTTTATTTTATATATAGAATTTCTTTAGTAATGAGTAGCATAGGTTCCAGTTTGAGGTCCATTATCCCAAAGTATTAAAACGTGTTAAAAGATATTACAACACAACATGTTACAATAGTCATTGTAGGAGGCATAGCTGTTATGTGGGGCCAACACAGATATAACACACATAGTTTGTACATATGGCAAAAACCATTAAAATGAAATAGGAATGAGCAATTGTTTCCATAAGACTGACCCTTTACTACATCACTTTAAAACACCACACCTGGCTGTTGCTTGATTATAAACCTGTCTCATTATAGTGTATGAGGTTATTTGTGATATACAGGCATACCCCGCTGTATTGACAGAAAATGGCCCAGTGGGCAGGTTTATTTTACTTTTCCTTCCAGTTTAAGGTTGTCAGATGAGTAAAACATTAAAGATAAATGGTACAATCTGAAATGAGATTATTATTTTTAAAACTTTTTTGTACTGTTTGAACTGAATAAAAGCCCACTGGAAATCACTAAATAAATCACTGGAAATAAAATCTCTGGAGATCTTTTTTGTTTGTGTTGAAATACCTTATGTTTGTGTTTTATTTCAGGTAGTGGTAGTCGTCTGCAGTCTGTTGGCGAAGATGATGAGCTGGCTGTGGGGAATGGAGATTCCTATTTAGATAAAGGAGATAAATATTGCCGTGGGGGGCGAAAACATTCCCTACCACAACAGCTGGACTCAGTGGGATCCAGACAGGTTAGAGGTCTCTACTCACAAATCATTCATGTGATGCATCATTTCTTTTACTAGCCATACAGATCCATTCGCAAGACATACAAAGAGCAACATAGCATTGCTTTAAAAGCATTTCTAGCTGC